AATTTCTTATGAAATTAAAATGGTGCATGTTTTTAGGATCCATTTATTTTTTCGGGCATGCGTATTTACGAGGTCCACGACATTCTGAAACATCTTTAATTACAAATAAAGGAACTGGGAGCTACTGTCCAAGGAATTTGTGAAACTCGTTGGGTTGAAAGGCATGATTGTCATCTTCAGTTTCAAGGCGAATCAATCATCAAAATATACAACGCTTTCGAAACAATTTCTACGTGGAAGGACAGTAAAATGTCAGTATTTTCATTAATGCAAACTATTAGGAGCCCAAAATTTCTCATTCCAGTAATTTGTCTTAGTGATGTTTTAGGTACAACTTTATCACTTAGTTGTCTTCTTCAGCCACCAAAATTAGATTTGAAGAAGGTTACTAAAACCATACAGGACACTAAATGCATTCTTTAAAATAAAAGATTAAATGCTGAATCTGTTTTTAGCAAAATTTACTATAAAGTATAGTAGGAAGTAAAGAGCTAAACAACTAGACATTGAATTGAAGATGCCTCGTATAGTTTCTCGTCAAACCTGTCGTCAAAACCAACCTGCTAACTCTTGCGAAGAATATTTCCGAAGATCTATTTATTTACTCCTTTAAAGTTTCAAAAAAAAATTGTTGACACCTTCCAGGATATTGTTGGATCATCTACTGCATATTCCACAGTAGGGGATAGAACAAGAGTTTTCAGTGTGGATTTAATAGTGGAAAAGAGTCGTGCAAAATAATGGAAAACTTCCTGATTTTATTTAAGCTTAAGCGTCTAAAGACTTGGCTTAGAAATAGAACTTCGGATGAAAGGTTAACTGGTTTAGCACTCATCAATGTGCACTCTGAAATTTCTCTAGATGTTGATGCAATCATAGAGCGATTTGCTAAATCGGATAGGCGAAAAGAATCAGGAATGGTAAGAGACTCAGATTAAATCGAAACGCAACAGTCATTTATTTGTTCTTGTCCTTACTCGACGCAATGAGTACAAAAATGATATTAATTTATATGTGAGTCTCTTACCATTCAGGAATGGTAAGAGACTCAGATTAAATCGAAACGCAACAGTCATTTATTTGTTATTGTCCTTACTCGACGCAATGAGTACAAAAATGATAGTAATTTATATGGGTAAATTGTTGATGCATAGTGGAATATAATATTCTCAGCATCGCTCTGAATGGCTTGATTAAGCTTGGGTATACAGTTTACTTTAATTGCTATCGATATTTAACTTCATCTTTCCTCACTAGAGGCCTCTAGTAGCATACTCTGGTAATTATTTTCCTATAATTTCCTTAGTAGTCGGTGCGTTTTGAATTGGTTTGAGTCTTCTTGCAAACTCTCTCTGATGAGGGGTAGACCCCCCAGAAACATGTGTAAGAGAATGGTAAGAGACTCAGATTAAATCGAAATGCAACTGTCATCTATTTATATAATAATTTGTGTTTTTCTTGTGGCATTTTAATGCAATTGACTATTTTTTTTGGGAATAAGTCAAAACTCACAATTTTACCTTAAAATTAAGTTTATTTGACGTTTCGATTTTCATTTCAGAAATTGTTCTCTCAAAAATAAATTTTTTTTATTTGCATTGCATTCCATCAACTACTGCCCTCAGATCAGAAATGCCATAAGTACTTGTTTTAATGTTTGCTCCAAATATTATTCTAAATCTAATTAAAAGTACAGATTAAGGGTAATAATTATCTGTTTAGCAACATTGTGAAAGGCAAATAACACTACAATTTTTAATATTAAAAGAATATATATTTACTGTAGAAGCAAATATCTACAATATTATTCATGTTACTATTTTTATTGGAAATAAACCACACTTTTTCTTTGAAATAAGTTTTTTTGTAGGTTATTCCCATTAAAATAGTAATTAATTTAAAATGCCACAAGAAAATAGCATTTTGTTCAAAAGTTAGTTGTTGGCAATTACTTAGAAATAATTTTATATTGTTCTGAAGCTATTTTCTTGTAGCATTTTAAATTAATTACTATTTAACGGGGAATAAGCCACAATTAAAGATAAAAATACGTTTATTGACGTTTCAATTTCCACTTCGGAAATCGTTCTCAAAATACAAACAGTAAATTAAACAAACTTTGTTTTTTGTTACATAGTGAAAAATTCTTCTAATAATTTATTTTTATCTGACTCATTTATATTGACAATTCAGACATACATTATGCATTTTAAAGTAGACGACTTTAAAATGATATTGCCAATATTGTTGAGTTGCGCTCCTGGGACGACTTTACTTATAAGATAGTTCATTCGATTACATGAAATCAACTTTAACTTGAGAATATCCGTCAGAAAAAAATCATAGCATGTAATTCGTCTTTAAAAAGACAAACACATGACATAATGACAGTAAAATTCTCCTGTTAGTGATTCCATAGTAAATTATGAGGGAAAAACCAGGAAAAAAACCTCATAATATTATCTATAGTTTACCTTCAATAAACACCAAAATTCTGATTTTATATGTTTCGTTATTTAAAAAACATAAATGATATTTTAATCTCTAAGAACGATACTGGATATGAGACTCAGGTGTATAGAAAACCAACACACACCAATAGATATTTAAATTTCAAATCAAATCACAATATTAATGTAAAAAAGGGAATAATTAAATCCTTATACGATAGAGCCAAAATTACTTGTTCTAACGAAAATTCGTTCTTGTAGAAAAACATTTGTTAACATCTGTTTTATTAAAAAATGATTATCGTTTATAAATAAGGAATTTTCAACAATTGATCGAATAGAACAGGACAACTTAGAACGAGATACTACAGCATACACAACGAATAGTACGAGGAAAATAACAATACCGTACATAAAAGGATTATCAGAAAAACTTAAAAGGATAGGCAATAAATTCAACATTTCAACAACATTCAAAACAACAAACACGTTGATATCTATTTTGTCCAAAACCAAACCTAACAATGAACAAGAAAGGACAAAGAATTGCATTTATAAAATACCTTGTGAATGCGATCAGTTTTATTTAGGTGAAACATCAAGGCCATTAAATGTTAGAATAAGTGAACATCAATCTTATATTAAAAATAGAGAATTTGATAGATCTCAAATATGTAAACACGCATGGGATAATGAACATAGGGTTCAATGGAATAATTCAAAAAGCCGCTCTAATTATGCTAAATGAGGCCAATTGTGTCGCAAATTCCTCGGCAGAATGTAGTAGGATCTGGTTACCAATATTGAAAGAGGAAGTTATTAATAAGAAAATACCAATATTAGTAAGTCAGTAACATGTAGAGAATACATCATTTATGTTTTTTAAATAACGAAACATATAAAATCAGAATTTTGGTGTTTATTGAAGGTAAACTAAATGCACGAACAACTACTTACCATATTGGGATAGTATTATGAGGTTTTTTTTTTCCTGGTTTTTCCCTCATAATTTACTATGGAATCAGTAACAGGAGAATTTTACTGTAATCATGTCATGTGTTTTTAAAGACGAATTACATGCTATAATTTTTTTCTGACGGATATTCTCAAGTTAGAGTTGATTTCATGTAATCGAATGAACTATCTTATAAGTAAAGTCGTCCCAGGAGCGCAACTCAACAATATTGGCAATATCATTTTAAAGTCGTCTACTTTAAAATGCATAATGTATGTCTGAATTGTCAATATAAATGAGTCAGATAAAACTAAATTATTAGAAGAATTTTTCACTATGTAACATTTGTTTAATTTACTGTTTGTATTTTGAGAACGATTTCCGAAGTGGAAATTAAAACGTCAATAAACGTATTTTTCTCTTTAATTGTAGCTTATTCCCAGTTAAATAGTAATTTAAATAATTTTATGTCAAATAAATTTTATATAATAAATAAATAATAATAAATAAATTTCTAATTTCACTCCGTACTTATTTTCTGTTTATTATATGAGGGTGAATCAAATATAAACTGGACTATTGTTGTAGAACATTTATTGCAACAGTAAATAAAATTTTGAATATATTTTATTTTTCTATATAGTCCATTCTTGTATTCACATATTTTTTTCACCGAATCGGAAGTTACCAATTGCGCACTAACATTTCTACACCATCATTGTCTAAGTGATGACCTTCCAGTTCTTCTTTGAGTTACCCAAACATATGGTAGTCACAAGGTGACAGATCGGGACTGTAGGGCGGATGTTTAAGCAGTTGGCAGTAGTGCACAACATTAACTGTTTGTAGTTCATGGAGAAAATAAATGAGCAGTCTCTGCAATCCAAAACAATCGTTATAAGAACTTTTCAACTAGAAAGATGGGTCTTGGCTTTCCACTGTGCTGCTTCTCTAGGTTTTCGCCACTCCATACGTGTCTGCTTAGATTCTGATGTGTAATGATGTACCCACGTCTCATCACAGGTGACAATGTGTCTCAAGAAATCATTCCCATCTGTTTAATATCGTGTAAACAGTCTTTCACACACAGCAATGTTTTCTGATCGCTCGTCAACAGACGGAAAACCCACCTTGCAGACATTTTTGGGTAACAAAATTAATCTGAAATGATTGATTGGGCACGTCCAAGATATTCCGATGTGTTCAGTAATTTTCAATACTGTAAGGCGGCAGTCTAATTTTGTACACTCTGAGCCATCGAAAAATCTTTTGTACCAATCATAGACTTTGTCCTTAAAATCGTTTTTTATCGAAATGTGCAGTTCTCCCGCGAAAAAAATTTAATAATGATGCGTTACTCTATAGACGTCTTCACCTCTTGATCAAATATGTTTCTACTAACAGTCAATCTGTTTTGGCGAGCCAAACCGATTTACTCTTCTCCACTTTAACATTCCCACCCAACATATATCAAGAGATATATGTTGTACTCATTTCACCTAGGGAGCGTTAAAAATAAAAATCCGGTTCATATTTGATTCACCTTAGAATGTATTATTTAAACACCAACTCATGTATTGTTAAACATGTTTTAGGATATATTTGATGAAATGGACATTATTGAACTGTGCCAAGCCAGAGCAAAATCTAACCCATTCGAGACAATTCGTTCAGCATTTTTTATGAACAGAGCGGCATTGAAGATGGCCAATATTGATGCAGTGACAAATTACATGTTCACGGATGTTGACAAAAATGTATGTTTTCTTTTATACAGAGTGAATTATGTTGAATTAGAGTAAAATACGTATGTCAGAGAGAAGATTATATTAGTAATATTTTGCAATTACGATTAATGATTTTTCTAGTATTTATGTAATCACAATGAAAACGAAACAGATCTTCAAAACACATTTCAGCTGGTTCTATCATGACGTAGTAAGAGCTTGGCGTAACAATGTGCCACTTGTAACTATTTTAGATGGTCATCTTCTTCCTAGACAATATTGACATAAACTTCTATCACTCATGTCTTCATTTATAATCAAATGGGTTCTATCACTCATGTCTTCATTTATAATCAAATGGGTTTCTAAAAATTAGGTTATTTAAATAAAGTATATTAATTAAATTTGAATATCTTTTCTGGAGTTATTTAATCTATTATTTCTTCTAGGAAACTTTTCAGAATCACGAAGGTCCTTATTATTTCGCAGATGTGTGTGCAGGCCCGGGAGGCTTTACCGAATACGTCCTATGGAGAAAACAGTGGCATTTTAAAGGATTTGGTCTAACCTTAAAAGACGAGAATGATTTTAAACTGAGCGATTCCACTTGTGCTTGTCCTGCATCATTCCAGGCTTTGTATGGTAAAGATGATGACGGAAATGTGTGCTCCCCAGAAAATATTTTGGATTTCAAAGAGAAAGTCATGCATGAAACTGATACTGGTGTTCATTTTATGATGTCGGACGGTGTAAGTATTCTTTATAATTAATTAAGTATTTGTAAATATTTATATCATTAAATCAAATAAAACTCTCCCTCATTAAAATAAAAACGGGATGGATGTGTCACTCTGGGAGTGATCAAGGAGAGAAAGCATAACTTGCTTATCAGACGATAAATTAAAACGATTCGATTCGATAATCGATTCGATTCGATATTTGATTCGATTCCATTTTGATAATCGATTGGTTCACTACACATACGCACATCATTGACAGCAGCTGTAATAGTGAATGTAGTTTGTAAATGTATGTCAAAATATCAGTTTTTTGAATGAGAAATACAAAAAAAAACTATAGCTCAGAGGGAATAGATTTTATAGATATAGATTTTAAAGTGAATAAAAAGTAAATCCACTTTTCAAATTTCAGACTAATCCGACTAGCCTTACTAATGGTTGAAATTACCGTAATTTTCATTTTGAAAAATTATTTAATATAAATGTATTTATAAAATTAGTATATTATAGTACAAACTTTCAAGGGTATTATCTGAAATTTTGGTGCAAAAATATTAAAAATTAAGAAAATGACAGCCAATTTTCCAAGATGAAAAAAATGGATCATCTGCAGCCATCTTATCCGCTCTAGTAATTCTTATCTGCCTCGAGTGCATAATTATGAGAACTTGACACTGTAATTCCAATTTCTATGTGAGTGCTCACTCACCTCACTCACTCACTCACCTCACTTACTCATCTCATTTACTCACCTCACCTTACTCACTCACTCACCTACTTCACTTAATAAACTCAGTCACTCCTAAATGCCTATAACTTCATCTATTTTGCTCCGATCACTCTGAAATTTTAACTGCATATTTTTGAGGAAGTATAGTGTCGAATAAAAAATGCAAAAAATACCCTCCTTAACCCCAAATACTTTACAGAGTAATAATACCAAACCTCTAAGTATCGACGATCACAATAAATTAATAACAGACTCGGTTAGAAACGCACAACTCAAATTTTGCAAGAAAAATTACACCAAAAGTGAAAAAATTATCAAATATACAAAAGCTCTCATGGAAATACTACGAAACCTATGCGAGAACGAAAAGGGAAACAAAGAAGAATATAGAAAACTAAAAAAAAAAAGAATTTCAGCGGAAATTAGAAAAGGTGTAAGAAGATATAATACTAATGTAATTACGCAAACAGTAGAAGAGAACAAAGGTTTAAAGATAATGAAAAGAAAACTCACACAAAGTAAAAAATAAAGAGACCGTCTTTATCTCTCAAACAAGCTGAGGGATAAAGACGGAAAGGCAACAACAGATAAACAAAACATTCTGAAAATAATCAGAGAGTTTTATAAAGACCTCTATATCAGCCAAAGACCACAAGACAATAATTTCCCTACACGAGTAAAGACTCCCATAAATTAGGGATCGGAAATGGATTTTACCCATTACTGTGTCAGAAGTAAGAGCAGCTTTAAAGGAAATGAAGAACCATCGATTGCCTGGTGGTGATGGACTCGTTATTGAGGCAATAAAAGCAGGAGGAGAAATTCTATTAAAATCAGTAAGCGAACTGTTTAATAAATGCTTACATGCGGGTATGATTTCAAAAGACTGGAACAATGCAGTGATAGTCTTGTTACACAAAAAGGCGATATTACTAAATTAGAAAATTATAGACCTATCAGCCTCTTGACACATATATACAAACTCTATAAAATCTCAAACAAAGAGACTAATACCTAAATTTGATTTCTATCAGCCCAAATAACAGGCAGGCTTCAGGGCAGGATATGGCACAAATGACCATTTCCATACCATAAAGATTTTAATAGAAAAGTGCATCGAGTACAACATATCACTGGTTCTTGCATTTGTCGATTACGAGAAGGCTTTTGATTCTACAGAGTTTGAAACAGTACTGGAAGCCCTAAATCAAAGCCCAATAGATTACGGGTACACGACACTAATCAAAAACATTTACGAGAACGCTACATCAACTATAGACCTATTGCCTTACTACCTGTATTATCCAAAATTATTGAGAGACTTATAAAAGCCAGACTTATGTCATTTCTCGTTGGAAATAACATTTTATCACAAAGCTACTTCTGCTTTTTGTCTAATAAATGTACCAGCGATGCTGTTTTCTGTACTATATGAGGTCTATGAAGCACTAAACAATAATCTTTACACTACCACTGTTTTTTGTACCTATGCCAAAGCTTTTGATTGTGTAACTCATATTTTGATAAAAAAACTAAATTTCTACGGAATTCGAGGTATTTCTTTGAATTGGTTCCACTCTAACTTAAGGAATTGGAAACAACTAGTTAGAGCAAATGATACTGACTCTAGTCACACAAGCATTGTATGTGGAATACCACAAGGTTCATTACTGCGTCCTCTAGTTTACCTTATCTTTATAAATATCATCACTAACTTAAAAATCGATGGAAAATGTTTCTTTTACAGTAGCATTATTATATTATTAATATATTATATTAATTTTGGTTAAATATCAGAAACATTTGAGTATTTACTGATTACAAATTTAAAACATGTTAAAACTGCTCTCCTTAAAAAGTAAGAAAATGGACATAGTGTCCTTTACCTCCGAGGTACGGAATTGTACAATGTACAATTGTATACATCATGCATTATACACATACTTAACCAAATTATTGTAGAATAAATGTATATTTTTTTAGGGATTTTCGGTGGAAGGAAACGAAAATTTTCAAGAAATTCTATCGAAAAGCATTTATATATGTCAGTGTTTGGTTGCTTTGGAAATAGTCAGATCTCATGGGCACTTCGTAACAAAATTGTTTGATGTATTTACACCATTTAGTGTTGGTATTTTGTTTCTCATATTTAAATGTTTTGAAAAAGGTGAGTAAGCAGTTTTAAATGTAACATTTTTTAAAAAATTTTGACAACAGCAACAGTCTCAGTGTTTTGTATGTTTTAGTGGCGATTTTAAAGCCAAACAGTTCTCGACCAGCCAATTCTGAACGATATTTTATTTGTTCGAACTTAAGCAGGGACCATTTTTACGAAAAAGTCAAAAAATATTTTTGGTTTATAGTACGGAGACTATGGGAGATTAAAGATAATAGTGATATAGACGTGCTGGAAATAGTGCCTTTACATATTTTAAAAGGCGATAAATCTTTTTATAATTACATAGTCAACAGTAATAATACGTAAGTATTCGACTTCTTTATTAATTTTATACAGGGTGTTTTACGTTTTATGTAAACCGCATATTAAACTGATCTCTGAGAATAATCAGATTTGAAATTTATTAATTTTCATTTCCGCATCATTGTTGCTAATCTACACGTCTGAAATGTTGACATCTCGCTTTTATTTTGGTAATTCGAGAAGTCGCTATCAACTGTTATTTTTAATGGAATACCCTAAAGTCAGATTCCACTATTTGGAAGAGTGATTTCGTCGTTTGGAGGCGGAGCAGTAGGGAAAGACGTATGAGAATCCAGTGGCGTACACTTACTTTTATTTCAACGTTAATTATAGTATGTTTTTACAATATTATTTGTTCGAAATAGGCCACAATCTATTTATTTACAGGTTTTTAGTAGTCATGGAAAATACAGTTACTTTGTAGTAATAGGTTCCATCGTTCCGGTGACAGACAGGTAATAGGTTCCGGTAACCCATTACTTTTGTCGCCTATTACCCAATTAAAAGAGCTTTAAAGCAATGCAATAATTTTGAAATTTTAATCATTTTTTTATTATGCTTCATTAAATACTTATACAAAATTTGATTAAAATGAAATCATTTTATTTATTTATTTAGCATATGGCAATTTGATACACAACATTATCACATATATGTTACAATCTAACATCTAATGTATTAATATATTCAATAGACGCTGGTGTTGCAGAGGCGAAGTCTAGAGGATCTCCATAATACTTCCTCCGAGGGCATTCGGCAATCATATGCTGGATGGTCTGTTTCTCGGCGCCGCAGTCGCACTCAGCAGAGGTTCTCATCCTCCATTTATAAAGGGAATCTGCGCAGACACCATGACCCGTTCTTATCCTGTTAAGAGGTGACCATGATTTTCGGGGGAGGTCAAAACCTGGTGGAGTTTCTGTGATGCATGGTGTGTTTCTCATTATTAGGTTCGGTCTGTCGCTCTGCATGTTCTTCCACTGGGAGTTCATTTGGAAATTGTTGGAACTCAAGTTTACTGCATCTCTAGTCGGAGGTTTTCTGGAGCGCAATCGATGTGAATTAGCGTCGGCGACATATGTGTGTATAGGTAATTGCGGGTTGTTAAGCAGCTTTTGGAATTCTCTAAGCAGAGCATGCTGACGACGAAGATTAGGTGGAGGTATATGGCTCAGTAGTGGAAGCCACTCCACAGGTGTAGACTTGATCGTTCCAGATATGAGACGCATGGCGACATTGAGCTGGGTATCTATAATTTTTGTGTGAACGCTATTCAGCCAAACAGGAGAGCAGTATTCAGCTGCGGAGTATACGAGTCCAAGGGCTGAACACCGAAGTGTACCTGCTGATGAGCCCCATGTAGTCCCGCAAAGCTTCTGTATGATGTTGTTACGGGTTCTCAGCTTTGCTGCGGTGTTCTCAAGATGTTTCTTAAAGGAGAGTGTTCTGTCCAGGGTGACGTCGAGGTACTTGGGATTATAGTTGTGCGTGAGCAGTTGGTTGAAATGGAATCATTTAAACTGGGTGTTCGGATTTCTATGTCACAGAGTATACATCCCATTATTTTAGTTTTTAAGTAAGTTTATTATTATTTGCTATTTATATTATATGTTGTAAATGAAATTCATTAATCGAAAATAATAAATTGTATAACGCAGTAAGACAACTATTTTTTTTTAATTATGGGATTGATCCCCGCGGAGCTCGATCCCAGGACGAAAGTGTATATTATGCAAAAATATTTGACTTGGACGAAAATATTATTTCTTCAGGTAAAAATTTAAGGTAAAACTGAACTCATTACGATATTCCGGACGAAAGTGTATCTTTCTTAAAATCGAATGGTTTTATGTTTAAAACAGTGGATAAACGGCAGGAAATTATAAAATCCAACCGTTCAATAAAGAGGAGGTTCGATTATTTGAAGAGTCTCAAGGTCTTTTAGGAGTGAAGGAAGAAACTTGTATTATTTTCATGAAACTTGGATCGACACCCACGATATAGTTAAAAAATATTGGACCGATAGTAGTAAAAATTGCGTAACCAATGTTCCTCCTTCTAGAGGGAAAAGAATTTGTATTTTACATTGTGGGGGAGAATCAGGATGGTTAGAAGATGCTTTATTACTCTCTGCTAAGAGTGTAAGTGATTGTCGCTTAGATTATCATCAAGATATGGACAGTACTTTATTTTTATTTGAAAAGTGGTCTGAGCAGCAATTACTACTCAAATTAAAAAGAAATAGTAAATTAAAAAGAAATAGTAAAGAGTAAAATTCCAAACACGAATTCAAACAAAGCTGAAATTCAAGAATTTTTATCAAAACATGAAATATATTTTATGGATTCTTACACAAAAAAACAACTTGTAGAACTATTAAAAATTAGTTAAATGTGAAAAAAATAAAAAAATTATGTTATCGACAGGCTAGCTGAGAATTATGGCCATAAAGTAATAATATTACCTCCTTACTATTCTGTACTAAATCCAATAGAATTGTTTTGGTCCAAATTAAAAAGTAGTGTGAGGAAAAATAATAATTCTCCTTAATCATTTTCGACTGTTGTAGATTTAATTACGACCGTATGTAATAATATTACAGCAGATAATTGAAAAAAATATATAGAACATGTCAAAAAACTAGAAGAAAAAATACTTACAGTTTCAAAACATTATAGAGTAGTTATAGATTTGAACGAAAGCGATGATAGTGATACCGATTTAAATAAAGCCGATACTTAAGTTTAAAATTAATTTTTTTGGTATTTTTTCACTATGTTAAATATATATTTTAATGTAAAAGTATTCCTTATATGTATTTTTCTTTTACTTTGTGGGATTGCCGTAATTTTAATAAAATGTATAAGTATATAAGTCCGACCCCGTACCTATACCTAGAAGATTAAGTCAGTAATATCTTGCAATGAACTATAACCAAAAATTCAGTATAAAACGACAAACTCCAATAAAACTCGGTTTATCACCACAAATTCAACCGCACAAATTATAATCATAAAATGCAACACCTACACTGCCACTCAACACCGCCTACTAAATGAACTTTTATTGCTTCGGCACGTGCGGTGGTGTTACTGCTGTGATGATTTATAAATTCCCAGATTGCCAAGTGTTTGAAAGGGAATGGTAATGAAATGTAAAATATCGATTTTTATTTTATAAACTTAAATATTTTAACGAAACGGAACTTGTAAATAAAATTTATTTCATGACAATTTTTTGCTAAATTTTTACTATTGAGAGAAATTATTTTTTTTTTGCATTTTTATGACAATACCAATCGCTGCGACGAAGAACTCAGGTTTGTATGACTATAACAGCTTCATATGAACAAGAATCGGTTACACTGTACTGTACTAATCGGTAGCTCGTGGTCAGGTCTACTATAAAGAAGCTCAAATTAATGTCCTAATTATACATTCTGTGATTTCTTATGAGAAAACGCAAATTGAACTGGTAGTTTTCGAGGGCCCATTTAAATTTGGGGATATTCGGCGTTTAAATGATGAAATCATTCGTCCAAATAGCGGAATTTAACTATATATCGTCGTCAACACAAGAAAAACTGGTAACTCCATTTTCCTTAATTTCTCAGGAGAGCCTAAAAACAGTAATATTTTCACTGATATCTTTTATTTGATAAAGAATGACGATTAAACAACTATATTTTGAGTTTTTAGCTCATATTAAGCTGAATTATATCAATTTTAATTTTAAAATCTAGCAGATATAGCAAAAATACAGAAAATTTGGAGTTACAGGTTTTTCTTCTTTTGGAATGAGACGTGCCTATGGAGTTACGTGGCATTTTTTGTAACGCTGGATTGGAAAAAATTAATAAAAATCATTAGTTATCGATTTATAAAAACATATCTGACACACATAAAAATATCCTAATAATGAAATACAGACCAATACTTTTGAAAAACATTTAACATAAAATTTAGTGTTATTTTGTTACCTACGTTAGAAATAAATAGCCTCATTATTCAACAATAAATAAAATTTTAATCTAAAATAAAATCGCATAAATATGTACAAAAACAAGTGTAGTACAACAGTGATGTGTGTGTAAAGCTTCGGCAGATCTGCGAAATTCTTGGGTATCACATTCTGATTATTCGATAACGCAGTTCAATCCAATTTTCACCAAATCTCAATTTGTGTTGAATACCTTGTGGTGAATATTTTGTAGCTCTAATATTTGTCACAACTGTATCACCCTTTTTTACCCGGTCGGATACTGCGTACGTAGTTTACTGCTCTGAAGTCCTTAAAAAAATCATGGTAATAGTCGAGTTACTACAAATAGATTTTCCTTCCGCGCTCTTTTGCATATTTGTATGTAATCACCAGGCACATTAATATCACATCCTCTTAATTGTCTCTCAAATGTACTGTGCATCATGTCGGCCTCCATCTGGATGTGCGCTTTCTCAAGGTATTTTTGTATAACTGTCACCTTCTGCTTTAAACAAAAGTTTAAAATTGCATTAGCTAGAGAAACATTACGATTTTGGTAAGTACATCCATCGCTAAAAATAATTATTTCACGTACGTTTTCCTCAAGACAACTCCCTTCAGTATATTTTTCTAAAATACTTACGATCACACTAGCAATTTCGGCACTGGTAAGATTCCCCTCCGACTTATCCCAAAGAAAACAGTGCCCTTGTTTTGTGTGTAATTGTAATGCTTTCACTGTTTTTATCTTTAATTTTCTCAAGTCTCTCTTCTTGTTTTTTCAACTAATTTTCACTAAATATTTCTTGATCAAGATTTCCTGTTTTAAAAAAGACACATATTTCACACAAAATTTTTTTTGGTCTATACAAAGCCAACCTCTTTTCCAGGAAAGCGTTTTTAAAAGTAGATAAAGAGAGACTGTTGATTCGTTTTTCTAGGTACCATTCCTTTTTGTAAATATAGTAAAGTTGACATTTGCTTTGCCATAATAGTTCTAGATATAATTTACTAGTTGATTTCCTGCAATAATGCGGTTCCATTTTCGGTAGGCTATCTAAAAAACTATAACGATTGTCCAACTCCTTCTTGTGAAGTCCTTTAAGCGGTTGTTCTAGTTCATTATCCAAATTTTCTGTAATAGCAGAATCATCTTCTTGTTTGCAATTCATAACAAACCAATCTTTAAGGCCCAGAGTTGACAAAACCATTTTTTTGCATACCATTCGTTTATCTTCTCCAATTTTCAAATAATATTTTAATGTCTTAGACCTCTGTGATACATCTTCATTTTTGTGATCATCAACGTTTTGATATACATTCTCTTTTCTGCCATGTCTATGTCTAGAACTTATTAAAAGCATGTTCCAAAACAACAAATCCCTTCAAAACAACAAATCAAATCAATGGCCATAATCACTTAACTGACTTAACAGAAAATGCGCAGAGTTACGTGTTTTACAAACATAATTTTTGACAAGGAAGATACCCGCATTTCTAGTAAACATTTTAAAATTAGAAATCTACATTTAAATGACGTATTATTTATGGCTAGAATAGGCGATTTGCTAAAAGATGGCAGTAAAATCTCATTTTAAGTAAAAATTGGAGTTAACCGGTTTTCTTGTGTCGACGACGACATTATATTATTATATTTTTATATTCTGCGAAAAATTTTAGACAGATTTTGTTACCATATATTGAGGACCCTAGAAGTAAAGGGGCATAAGTGACAAAAAGCAAATTTTGAGTAAGCTCTGTTTAACGTTGAGCCTTCACTGTAACTGCCATAATTTTTTAATTCTAGTTTTTCTTCAATGTTCAATGTATTGAGCGAAAGGGAGACTGTTTGAAAAATAAATAAGAAAAATATCAACAATTGTACCTTTTTTACTTAGACTAGATTAATATCAAACCACTCACATATTATCAATAATTTACGAACAACTTAATAGTACTTTTATTATATTTAGCTTAGCTGTTAGACAAACGACAGGATTAAAAAAATTAGCAGCATTTTGTCAGAATCCAACTTTAGTGGAGTGCCGGCAAGAAGAATATAGAAGGAAATGTCTCGAATTCTGGAACTTACCTGATAAATCAAAAACGGCACTACCTCAGCTTAGCGCACTTCAGCTTGTCAATTTAGTTTTAGATAAACCAGGTAAGCATTACTTTTAATAATCAATTATCTATATCAGCGGTCGGGGAACTTTTTTAATCATTAACCCAAAATATTTTTGTGTAAGTTGATATTACCCCATGGCGAAGAGCAAAAAACAAACGAAATCGCCTCTTTTTAACATCTTTCATATTATAGCCCCCATGATAATTTTGTGAAGAAAACAATAACTAAAAATTTAACATCCCTTATTCAATTTATCAATGTAATACCTAGTAATACATAACGGTAATAATAGTAATATATGTAATATACAGTTGAGGAAGAAAAAAAGCGTCCCCACAGAAAATATAAGTAAATGATAATTTCTTGTTATTTTATAATTCATATGACATTTTCTTGTATTATTAGACTCTACAATAATAATAATAATGGTGGTACAAACAAAAATTAGAATTGAAAAAATTAGAAAAAAAAAGAATAATTAAAAACACTCTTCCTTCACGTTTTGGAGAAATGATGTTGTTTCATGTTCGATACAATTGCTTCAAAATTGTGACTTTTTGATGTAAGAGTAAATTGAATACAGTCTTCGGCGTTTAATCGATTTCTTTTCTTCGTTTTTATGTTCATTGCAGTGGAAAAGCCTTGTTCGCACAAATATGTTGTTCCAAATATTAACATTTTTTTAACCGCCTCTTCATGTGCAATTTTGAAAGCCTTAAAGTTATTACTATTTAAATGGGAATAAGCGACAAATGAAGGTTAAAATACGTTTATTGACGTTTCAATTTCCACTTCGGAAATCGTTCTCACAATACAAAACGTTTTTTATTCACTATTAGATCACTAATTAGTGATTAAAGTTTCACTATTAGATCAAAGTTCAATAATTGCTTTTGCCAAACCTGAAGGTTCTGCTAGTATCATAGCAATTTCATATTTAAAATGATCTACAATCCAACTGACAGTACGTTTATCAAGATCTGGAAAGTAATCTGAAAACCGCTTTCTGAGTTTAATAAGATGTCTTACAATTGTATCCTCGATGTCAGCAAAAGTATTTTTTTCGCAATCTTCCAAAAACAAAGATAACCTTGAAAAACCTAAAAAGCCTATCTTGTTATGTTCTACTTTCTATCTCTCAAAATTGCAACTTTAATCCAAACGCTGACACTATTTATCTCGCTGAAATGATATTAATATTCTTTCCTTGCAATTCTTTGTTTAATATATTTATACTCTCAAAAATGTCCGCTAAATATGCGAGATATGCAACCCAGGAAGAGTTTTTAAACTTATCTGCGAGAATATTTTTTTGATCAACCATAAAAATTTCGACTGAGAGTCCATACTCGATTTAGTACATTTCCGCGAGAGAGCCACCTTACTTCTGTATAATAAAGTAGGTCCGTATATTCAACTTCACCGTCCTGACATAATTCACGAAATAGCCGCGTGTTTAGTGCATGTCCCTTGATAAAATTTACAATCTTGATGACATCATGCATGACCGCTTCCAGTGTAGGTTTTAAATATTTGACCATAAGGGCCTTTCGATGCATCATACAGTAAGTAACTTCAATATTTGGGTTATTTTTTTACGAAAGCCGAAAAACCGTTAATATGACCCAGCATAGCTGGAGCTCCATCCAAAGATACAGAAATACAGTTTTCCCATTTTAAACTTTGCGCATTGAAGTATTCATGTACTTTATTGTAGACATCAATTCCACTAGATCTCAACTCGAGAGGAGAACAAAACAGCAATTCCTCTTCAAAATTATCTACACCTTTTTAGCGAACATATACCATTAGCTGTGAAGTGCTACTAAAATCAGTTGTCTCATCAAACTGAATAGCAAAATATTTAGCCTGTTTTAATGCGAAAATAACCTGTTCTTTCACATTTTGTGCCAATATAGAAATTAGTTTTTTTACAATTCTCGCAGACAAGGGCACTGAATTCAGTTTCTTCGCTTCTTTTTGACCACACATCATCTCTGCCATTTTTACAGCAGCTGGTTTAACCAAATCTTCACCAATAGTGTATAGTTTCTTATTTCGACAATCAACCAGGCTACTACAAAGCTAACCCTTGATGGTAAACGCTGATCAAATGTACCAAACAAGTTGCTATTCAATATTTTAACAGATATTTATAAATTTGCAAAGTATTCTCGCGGTTTGGAAGACCGATGTGAATGCAAATTATCTAAATGTTTCTTCAATTGACTTTTTTTGAAAGATTCCGAAGTCAGTACCTTCATACATACAACACACTCTGGTTTCATCGTACCATTGTCTTTAACTTCAAAAATCTTCAAATATATCAAAAAAACCCTTAACTATTTACGGTAACGATAACTTATCGCAGTATTGCTTATAAAAAAAGTAGTAAAAACTTAAACAAATTAATACAAAATGAATCGATCGATACGCTCTCAGGAAAGCCAGTCAGTGCACTATCACTTCGCTACTTAAGTACTTATCCCGAAATAACATTTCATTTGTGGTCAATACCAATGAAGCATCGGCAAATTCAATTCTTCCATACTTACCCTTTAAATCCGTACGGAGAGAAATGCATATTTGGTTGCCTAGCGACTAATATTCCCTTGGTTTTTACATGTAAATCGTCAAGCTTGGGATCGGCTTGCCGAAACGGGTCTGTATAAGAATTCAGCAGCAGTTGGATGAATGACTCGGATCTCGGTCATGAATTTGAAAAGTGTCTTGATGCGCAGAGATTACTTAACGCTCGAATTGAACGAATTCTTTTAAAACCCATGAATAAAATTTAGTCTGTATAATCTCACAGATATTTTTTTTATTTCACAGAAGCAAGTGACATCAACTTATTACCTGCGATAATTAATTATTGAAATACTGATTAAATTAACTATTGAAAAAATCTATAATATCTATAAATGTGTGGGCCTGCACTGCCGATCCTGACCGGCCGCCACTGTCTTAATCGTAAATAAAATCTGTTATTGGAGATTTTCGGTACATTTACTACTATATTTTATGGAAATAGATCTTCTAAATATATCTTAATTGTTAATATTGTTTAAAAATATTTTATATTTTTATAAAAAATAAACAAAATGTTTTAAAAAGTGGTTTATTCCCATAAAATACAGTAGTTAATGTAAAAATGCTAAAAAATAGTTTAAAAACTTCTATAAGTTGTTCTTCAGCTTCTTTTTTTTTTCTTTCTCTGTTGTTCATTAATTGTTGTATATCTACGTGAATATTTACAAAAGCTATTTGCATTAGTAAAATTATTTGGCTAAAAGTTAATTTTAATTTGTTACAGAAATTCTTTTGGTGCAACCAAGAAAAGTGGACCATATTGAAGCATTTAACGAATTGATCTCAGACGTGGAAGATTGGTATTATTTTCCATTGTATAGTTCTCAAAAAACAAATAATTGTAACTTCTACGCTGGTAAGAATATCACCGTTTAATGTAGGACTAAGGTGGTCTGATAAGTTTTCGGCTCAGAAATCGAACCGCTCGCGAGATTTTTCTTCTTACGTTGATATACTGCGTAAAAAATTTCAAGAGACGGGATAATTCCTGATTGCTGTATTCATCAAACTCGATGTTAAACTTTTTTATATCTGGCTGGAGCAAAAGAATGAATAGTTATTTACCGCTGAGACCAAATAGTTATGTGTCTATTTTTTAGTGAATATATTTTTTTAAATATATAGCACTATTATGAAATAAATGAGTTAACAAAAAGGATAATTGAAGAAAAAAAAACAACTATACAGATAATGGCTGACTACAAACAACGATGAAGTTTATAAAGAATATAGAGAAGTGAAAAAACAAATAACACAACAAAAGATTGAAGAATGGGAAAGAACCTGCTTAAATATTGAAACATACATAGGAGGTACAAGAACTTCGGAGTCATGGAAAGTACTGAGAGGATTGAAACAATATGGCCGAAGTGAGGTCGTTTTTAGTTACGTGATGCCCTCTCAATAGATTTTGTATTAGTATTTTGTAGAGAAATACTGCTGAGATAGGATAATGACATGAAATGCCAAATGAAATATGTATATAAATATGTATTAAAATTAAATATGTATTAAAGATTATGAATAAAAATTCTATATTGTTATCACAATCAGGCCAAAAATTTTTCAGACCGCCCACTTAAGTATATATTAAATATGTCACGATTTTAGGTGTTTCTGGTAAGGTGTATAGGTTACAAAAAGGAAAGTGGATAAAAATAAATAATATACAATTATGCAGAGGAACCTTGTTATACGGCGAATTTGTCAAAGAAAAATGTGTTACACGAACGGAAATTAATAAAGAAACGGAGTCTACTAAATATAGCCTCCATATAATAGATGCTTTATATTTGGGAGAGAAAAGTTTGATTGATCTATCATTCTTTAAAAGGTAATTATATAAACTTTATCAGTTTTTTATTTATTAAAAAAAGCTTTATCCATCAAATTGATATTACATCGCGATTACAATAAACAAAACTTGTTCTTCTGGTGTCGTAAACTTACACCGTATATATGTAGAGTGTACTGTCACCTCGGGGTAAATGGAAAGGGTCTAAATCACCTTCTGTACCACCGTGTGCTCTGTAGAGGGCTTCGGAGACGTCAACGAAAGCACCTCTACCCAAGTCTATTTACAGGGTATAGACTTGTGAATATTTTAATCTGATGAGCTCGACTTGAAAAAGACGAGCTATTTCTTACATGACATACGAAGTTGTCGAAATAGGCATCAGGTTCTCGGCTTCGGTGACTTGCCTTGACAAAGGCAAGATATTTCTTACATGACTAAATAGTAGTCGAAATAAAACACCAAATATTGTTGAAATAAAATACTCAGCCACAGAGTATAGGAAAGCTAAAAACAAGAAAAGCAGAGCCCCGAGAGCACTAAGCTCTCGGAGAGCCCGTGAAGGACTGACTTGATTGACCTGAAAATCGCCTATTTTTATACTTTCTGAAGTAGCGATTAGGGATTTCCAGGTCAGGGAGGAGCCAACGGGAAAAATAAGGAGCGGGGCGATGCGTCTCGAACGCGAACTAGTCGCGTCCGAGAACATCCCCCTTCTCTGGAGACTCTGTGGCTGGGAAAGAAATTTATTGAACCATAAAAATAGAATAAAAACACATGTGAAAAATACACGATAAAATACATGTGAAAAATACACAATAAAAATACATAAAAATGCACAAGAAAATACATAAAAATGCACAAGAAAATAAAGTATTCAATGAAAGTTCATAAATTCACAGCACTGCACTACTTACAGGGAGTGTCGGTGGTGATGACGGCATCTCAAGCTCCTGAAGGTCCATCCTCGGTCGGTGTGCCAACTCCTCTAACGGGTTTCGTCTTCTTCTCGGTCGTCTGGATCCCATCTGCCATATCCGACGGGGTTTCGTAGGGTACCAGTGTGCCGAAGCCTACGTGGTCGTCCAACCACTTTCGGTAGGGGGGCGATGACTGGGTCTACTCCGGGACTTTCATCGGCATCTGGGGGGTTCTAACTTCGAAGAAGACTGGCTCGTCAAAGGCGCCTGCACGTCGAAGGTATCCTGGTCTGCAGAAGGCCTCGATGTCGGAGTGTTAGATAGCATTCTAACAATCCGTGATTCTCCCCATTCTTCTCTTGACTTCAACCCATGTTGAAGTCAATGGTGTGCAGCCTTCTGTGAATTCGAGCTGGGTCGTGGGTGCGGATTTTAACCACGTTGTCGGGCGCCATGTCACCTCGGGGTAAATGAAAAGGGTCTAAATCACCTTCTGTACCACCGTGTGCTCTGTAGAGGGCTTCGGAGACGTCAACGAAAGCACCTCTACCCAAGTCTATTTACAGGGTATAGACTTGTTTATATTTTGTGTATATCCACAGGAACAGGTGGTCTTTGAATGGTTAGGGGAAGCATTGTTGGAGCCAATGTTATTAGATCCTACTTCTTTTGCCGAACATTTACTGGCAATGCGTTTTTAACACACGAATTGCTTGACTTGTTAGTCGATGTTTACTTGTGAATTAGACGAAACAAGGGGTTTCAACATGAAGAAGCGTACCACCACATCGTACAAGAAATGTGTTTATAAAATACTTATTTTTAGTTTGTTTATTTAATACTCAACCGCTTTGAATTTGAGACTTTCAATTTAAAGCACATTTTACATGATACTTTATATATATATATATATATATATATATATATAATATATATATATATAGTGTGTGTGTATTATATTTTAAGGTCTTTTTTCAGGCAAGATCTTATTAAACTCTACTGCAAATCGCTAAATAAAGAAGGAATACCTCTTTCTGTAAGAATCCGACCAAAAATTTCTAATAGATTTTCAAATATAACTTCAGATTGTTTGATTTCATCGAGTAAATGAATGGAACTTACTGCAACCTACCATTATTAGGCTACAAGTCGATATCCGAATCATTTAAGACAAATTCATTACTACTGCTAAAAATGAACTCAAGTAAGTATATTACTATCAGTACTAATAAAAACATTAACCTCTTTCAGATTTAACGTGGAAACATCGTTTAAGATTCAAAATCTTCTGTTTTTATGTCACGTATGTCTGTCATTTTCTATTTTTCTTAAATATCTGTTTGATTTCGACGTCACATTATCTTCTTTTAACTTAAATATGTAACTAAAATTGTAGAATATATATTTATATATATATATATATATATATATATATATATATGCTTTATATATATATAATATATATATATATATGCTTTTATATATATATATATATATATATATATATATATATATGCTTTTATATATATATATATCTATAGCCCGCTATAGCTGGGTGCCCAAGCTTAGCCAAGCTCCCCCCAGCTCGGTGTACAGAAAAGAAAAAGGCTAACGCAGCAGTTTAATATTCTAGATGAATCTGGTGTCTGATCGGCCTATGGTGGAGCAGTACGGCAGGAGATAAGGGCTTGCGACAATTCATTGGAGCGAGGTGTATTCGCTCCAATGAATTGTTACACCACCACACTCCAATGCTTCAGACCATCCCTTTCCTCCCTATAGCACTCTGATGCGCGATAGGGGCACAACTATCAGCCAAATGCTCTTCATGTGATATCCTGGGAAAAATAGAACTGAAACATGGTTCCTAACCGAAATCAAACTCAGGACAGCGCATTGTCGCTATGATCCTGTAATCTTAATGTGGCTTATCCGCGAACTAAAAATTGCTTACTTGGGTCTAAGTCTTCGCTCTGAGCTAGGCTCAGTTCGGGACTTGGTGCTCAAGGGGTTTGGCCCTACGTGTCCGGGTTTTAGGGTTTTTGTTAGTTTTTTTTTTGTTGTCTTGCGCCGGTTTTTGTTAGTGTTTTTTAATTTTTTTGGTGGGCGAAACCGTTTTTTGTGTATTTTTTTGTCTCTTTCATTGCTATTAGCATTTCGTTAAATAGGTAAACTAGTTGTGCCATCTCTAGGTATAATTGCAAACATAATTATTTTGTATTTTGTGAGAAAATAGATTTCTGTAAAATGAAGCTTTTGCCGATATTTGGGGAAATGGAATTTTGTGGCTTGTAGCACTCTTGCTTTCAATGCTGTTATTTCAATGCATCCTTATGCCTTTAAGAGTATTGAGAGACGAAATGAAGGAGAATAAAATATGTGAAAACTGTGGAGTTTCCTGGAGAAAATAGCGTGAAAATTGAATTTTCTTTGTAAAAAAAGTTTTTTGTAAACAAAATTTCTTACTTATACCATTTTGCGAATCGATAGAGGAGTATTGGTTGGATTTATTTTTTTTTTTTTTTTCACAATATCCCTGATTTTCTCCTTCAGCTCACTTAAAATTTTATATATATATATATATTATATATATATACTATATATATATATATATATATATATATATATATTATATATATATATATATATATATATAATATATATATATTATATATATATATATATATATATATATATTACGAGCAAAGCCCAAAATTGGGCAATCCTAGCATTGTACGGAAATTATTGTCCACTTCTGGCATTGTACCCCCAAACTGTACAATGTCCGAAATGATCAAATTTAAAAATGATTATCGAGACGCTTATCGATTCGAATCGATAGCGAATCGAACGAATTATTATTGACAAGCGACACATCAAATCAAAAATCGAACATTTCTTGTTAATTATTTGATATTTTTTATTTTCTATTTACATACAAAGTTGTACTTTTTCTAGACATCGTTATAAAATGCTGTCTCAAACTAAAATATAAATAATACGAAGAAATTGTTCTGCAATAGAGTGATAGATAAAAGCACATAAAAGTAGGTATATAAGTTCCGTTGAAGAAATGAAGGAAAGTTTTGTATTTGGCAGTGTTGTCATGTCGTTTTAATAAATCGCGAAAGAGCATGCGATATAATATTAATTAATTTTATTAAACATTATTTTTAAGTTTATAAATGAAGTTTAATTAAATTTAATTTAATATATTTCAAGTTCCAGCAACTAATAGATTAATTTAGGATTTATATCGCAATTGATGTTTGTTTGTCTTTAATATCAAATGGGGAATAATCATAAAAATAATCGATATCTGTCATATTCTTCCAAACTTTGACGCATTGCTACTTATCGACTTATTGAAATTCGAACATTGTACAGCAATTCCTTTATACAAAGTCCGACGATTATGTCTATTTCGGAGATTGTACAGTAAAGGGGTACAATGCTAGAAGTGGACAAGATTTTCCGTACAATGCTAGGATTGTTCAATTTCGAACATTGCTCATAACATATATTTATTTATATATATATATATATATATATATATATAATATATATATATATATATATTATATATATATATATATTATGTATATTATGCATAAATAACAGCAGGTCGTGAAAACGAAAAGTTTTACCTTAACTATGCTCCGGAAAATAAGATTTTCATAAAAACGCATCCTGGTTTAACTTTAAATTCCTGTTCTTTTGTGCTTATCTCATACGATATTTTCAATGCACAAAAAGGCATAAGAGATAAAATCGTAGTTGGCCTTCGTATTGAAATCCGATGGTCTATAGAGACAGCTGTTAAGTTAGTTGAGTGCTTCTTTTAACATCTTGATATTAACGTTAGAATTACAAATATGAACATATCCTGGATTCCTATGCAGAAATGTATTTTAGTAATTTTATTTTTCAGATCAGTCCTTCCACTGGACATACGTATTAAGAGTACAAATTTTTATAAAAGATAACGAAGAAATTAATGAAGATAGCTTACTTTTGGAAAACATTCTCAGCGAAGTGAAAGAGAAAAGTTGAGAAGCGGTACTTCTCTTTTTTTATTTTTGATTAAGTGAATCAAGTAAAATAAAGAGAATACATAAATGAATATTTCGTTTTACCTTAGAAAAAATCACCACAAATAAAAAAAAAGTCAACCACAAACCTTCTAATGACTATACTTGCTGGTCAACAAAAGTCGCTGATGAATCATTTACAAATTAAAAACATAAATTAAGTATTTCGGCAGCAACGTTATCGATCTTACAATGTTTGAATAGTTGGGCACATTTTTTGTTAGCCGTGCAGTAATTTGGTATAGCTCTTTAGTTCTGTTGTGTTGTGCAGCTGTTTCAGCTTGTTTTATCACTTCTTGAGCCCACCTTCTTGTGAACAAAATAATCATTGCATGTTTTTAACTGCCATTTCAGAGAAAGAAATAATAATAAATAACTTAAAAAACAAGCATAGCTCTGGTTATAATGAAATATCAACCCACTTAATTAAATATGTTTCATCAGAGATTTCTCTTCCTCTTGCTTTTATAGTTAATGCTTCTTTCAGGCAAGGTAAATTTCCTCAAAGTTTAAAACTGGCAATTGTCAAGCCACTTCATAAAAAAGGTGATGTTACTAAGATGGAGAACTATAGACCAAGAAGTCTTCTTCCATCATTCTCAAAAATATTCGAAAAAACAGTATATTTAGACTACAAAACTTTTTTACTACAAACACCTTATTAGGAGTTCACAGCATGGTTTTCTCGCAGGGAGATGTTGAGAAAGCTACCTATGACTTTCTATCAAAAATTTTAGAAAAACTAGAGGAAAATATGAAAACACTAGATGCCTTTTGGACTTAAGGTTTTCGATAATCTAGATCATGTTCTTTTATTACAAAAATTACATCTTTATGAAATACAGGGACCGGCATTAAAATCATTTCTCACAGATAGGTCGCAAAAGGTATGCTTGGAGAAAAGGGAATGTAAGGTTTACTCTGAACAGATCAATTTAAAATTAGGCATACCACAGTAGAGTGTTTTGAAGCCTTTTCTCTTTTTGGTCTACATAAACAACGTTCGAAATAAGGTGGTTAGTAGTTCCTCAAACCTCAATTTTCCTGATTACTCAAAATGTGTTTTTCTGGGAAAAACATTAGAGACACTACTCACAGTGGCTGAACAGTGGTTCAGTGTAAATCGGTTGTTGCTTAAGACTGATAACAGTTTTTGTTTACTTTAGAACCAGCCAGTCACGAGAACAGTTTTCAGATACAATCAATTTTTTATCACAAAACACGGAACCTGCTAGATCAGTTAAATTTCTTGGTCTTTATATTGACCAGCCAATCGCGTCCACTGCTGGACATAGGCCTCCCTCAGTTCTTTCCAGTGTTCTTTACACTGGGCCGCTTGTAGCCAGTTTCCCGCTACACGTTTAATGTCATCGGTCCATCTAGTCGGTGGTCGTCCTCAGCTTCTTTTATAATTTCTGGGCCTCCATTCCATAATACGTCTTGTCCACCGTCCATCTTGTGTTCTGGCTAAGTGCCCTGCCAGTTCCACTTAAGCGTCGTGGTTCTTTCAATGACGTCTTGAACTCCTGATCTTCGCCTGATTTGTTATTTTGTTATGTGGTCTCGAAGGCTCACGTTCAGCATTGCACGTTCCATGGCTCGCTGTGTAACTCTAAGTTTATTCGCAGATTTTTGCGTGAGTGTTAAAGTCTCTGCTCCATAAGTTTGTACAGGTAAAACACATTGGTTATAAACCTTTCGCTTGAGACACATGGGAATTGAACTTTTTAGAATATGGCTTAATTTGCCAAATGCTGCCCATGTTAGACCTATTCGCCTCTGTATTTCATGTGTTTGATTGTCTCTGCTTATTTTGATTTCGTGTCCCAGATATTTGTAAGTGTTTGTTTGTTGTATGGTATTATTGTCAATAGTTATATTTCCACTTATTACGAGATTTGTTATAATTTTAGTTTTCTCAAAGTTTTAATCCTGCTCTTTCAGACAGACTTTTAAGCGAATGCATCATAGAAATTGTATCATGTAAGTTATCTGCGATTAATACAACATCATCTGCAAACCTTAGCATTGGCTGATTGATGATATTGACCAGAATCTGAATTGGGGGAAACAAATACAAAATACAACAAAAAATTGAATAGAGCCTGTTACTCATTAAGAGTGTTAAAGAGCTATCTAGACCAGGGGATTTTACTATCAGTAAATTATGTAAACTTTTATTCTGTTATGCGATATGAAGTAATCTTCTGGGGTACTGCAGTAGATAGCTCAACTGTGTTATAGTCTAAAAAAGGCAGTCCGGCTGATCTTAGGACTTAGGCGGAAGAATCCTGTAGAAGCCGATTCAAATCACTAAATATACTCATTTTCTCAGCCATGTATATATTTGAATGTATTATGTTCCTTTTTAAAAATTTTACTTTGTTTTATCACCTGCTTCCCGATCATGAATATAATACAAGAAGCCTTAATTTGAATTTGCCAATTCACAGATTGTCTATAACAGAGAGAAGTCCTTTATATGCGTGTGTTAAAGTTTATAATAGTCTACCATCTGGCATTCAAAAGGAAACACACTAGAAGGCTGTTAAAAGAAATAACACCTAGTTGACATTGAGCCCTACACAGTGGCAGAGTACCTGGCCTATCCTTCTCCCTGATCAACATATTTAATTTGTAATGTGAAAAGCAGCCCCAGTACTCGATATTAGCTATTCATCAGTTATTTGAATATTGCAAGAAAACAAAATGCATCCCTATAACATTATATCCTCAGCTCATAGAAGATGATTTTGACAGGAGAACGTATTTTTGTGAACAAATGATGGCAATGTTAGGCAGCAATGTGATCCAATTAGAACATGTTTTGTTTTCTGGCACCTTTACTCTTCACGGTCATGATAATCGGCAAAATTGCTGCATTGGTCCAGAGAAAATCCTCACTGGGTCAGAGAAGGTTAACGTGTGGGCAGGAATTATTGAAGATCAGATCATAGGTCCCTTTTTCATATATGGCAATTTGAATGGCGACACTTATTTAGCATTGCTCCAAAATAATGCAGTGCCAACGTTGGCCAACTTGTATCCTGATCCAGGAAATCCACAAATTCCAGCGGATATGATATGGTTTCAATGAGATGGAGCACCATCCCACTACCAAATCCATGCCCGGCATAAATAGAAAACATAATAAATAGAACTCCATTTTTTTTTTCGTAGAAATAATTCCCATATACAAATCATTGGTCACATGACGTCTGGTTTTGTCTTTAGAGTTTGTGGTCAAGTCACTTTATCTTTGGATTATTTCTTGCATTATATGAATATTGTCTAAAGCTGGACGAACCCCTTCTTTTATCACTTAATTTGTTTCCAATTCCTCGAGATAAGTTTGCTCACGTGTTAACGAATTCTTACTCTCTTTAGTGGCTTTAGCATTTATTAAAAAAGGTCTTGAAAGAAATAAACTCATATAAAAGTAAAAACAAGTTTTTATTTATAAAATAAAACACTAGGGAGGTGGAGTGGTCGTTAAGTTAGACAAAAGTATATAGGTCTTGAAAACTGTTCCGCATTTCATTGCAGTCTAAAATTGTGCGATTAACAATTTTAAAAAATATATTTATTCAGCGTTTAAAACATGTAAATAAATCAAACAAGAACTTACTAAAATCTTTAGCTAAATGTTTAAACCGAATAAAACTTTTTACTGATACAAAAATAAAAATATCACATTTCAATATCATACTAAATCCTGTAAAATCACAAAGCCTACAATTCTTGTTTAATTTTAGGAATTTCTTTCTGATATTTTATACGAAACTTTTTACATTACTTCAAATCGTACTTGTTAAGTAGAAACTTATAAACATGACATATCTGCCACAATATATTGTGTGCAGAAAAGTCATTCGCGTTATTTTGATTTTTGGTTGGTGAGCTTTGGGCATATCTGATACGTATTTGTTGAAATTTTTTGGAAATATAAGAATATTCATACAATTGACCTTATTTGCCGACATATAAAATGTCAACACATTTGATTATAAAGTTTCATAAAAAATAATCACGTCATCTCAAATCACAAATATTCGTCACTATGCATACTTAAAGAGAATCCACTCCACTTCTCCAATCGAGATTTGTTGGTAAATATAACTTACGAATTGTATCTTTATCAGTAATAAATACAAATCATGAATTAAAATAAACTTAAAACTTAAATAAATGCAAAAGTAAACCTAATCTGGCTAACGGCCTCGAAGGAATTCACGTTAGTAGCCAGGGGACTCAGGAGGTTCCCAAACACATTCACAAGTCTACTATGTACAAATCATATGGACCTGAAAACAAAATGAGAGTTTCATTAATATGTGTAAATATTATAACTGCACAATTTTAATACCAAAATATTAAGATTTCACCAAATCACGTAAATAAAATATTCTTTTTTTATGAAAAATAGGGTCATGGCAAAAGTTATACTTAATGGGTGTTGTTTATATACACTGTATAATCAAATGGAATAAATTAACTAAAAAATAAATGAGGGAGTATTCGAAAAAATGGTCGAACACGTCTTCTTCTTCTACGGCACTACAGCCCAAAATGAGCCTTGGCCTCCTTTATTTCTTGCCTCCACCCTTGTCTGTCTGTGGCTGCTCTTCTCCATACACGGACTCCTAAAAGTGCTTGTGCGTCGCTGCTTACTGTGTCTTCCCAGCGCCTTCTTGGCTTTCCAACTGGTCTCTTTCCCTGCATTCTGGCGTTCAGTGCTCGTTTTGGTAGCCTATCCTCTCCCATTCGTATCACATGTCCGGCCCATTGCAATCTTTGTATTCTAATGAAGTCTGACAGGGGTGTTTCCTTATACAGTTGATAGAGCTCGTTGTTATATCGAATTCTGAAGATTCCGTTTTCCCTCACAGGTCCTAGTATTCTCCTCAGTACTTTTCTTTCGAATGTGTCGAGTTTGTTTTTGGATGTTTCTTTCAGGACCCATGCTTCGCTGCCATAACATGCTATTGGCCGAATTAAAGTTTTATAGATTCTCATCTTTGTATTTCGGTGGACACTTTTAGACCGAAATATATGGAAGAGAGCAAAATAAGCTTTGTTTGCCTGCGTTATCCTTTTTCGTATTTCTCCATCCTCTGCTCCATCGGCATATATTTCTACTCCCAGGTATGTAAACTTTCCAACCGTTTCAATGTCATCTTCATGTATAATGTTTTGTGGGATTATATTTCTTCTCGTCTGTACCATTATTTTTGTTTTTTCTGTGTTAATTTCCAGACCTAGCCTTTTCGTTTGTGTTTTTAACTCTGCGTATGCTTCCTGTGCTCCTGTTGATGTTCTACTCATAATATTAATATCATCGGTGTAGGCAGCCAGTTGAACCGTTTTATTGGTCAGTAGGTTTTCCCGTCCAGTTTGCATTTGCCTAACCGCATACTCCAGTGCCAGGTTAAACAATGTTGGTGCCAGCCCATCTCCCTGCTTTAGTCCCTGCGAGATTTTGAAAAAGTCTGTCCGGTTGTTTTGTATTCGTACACATGCTTGAGTTTCATCCATTGTGGCTTTAATGAGTCTAATTAGCTTATGTGGTATTGCTAATTCTGCCAATATATAGTATAGTCTGTCCCTTTTGACTGAATCGTATGCCTGTTTGAAGTCTACAAACACGTTGTGAACATCAATGTCGTGTTCCCACGATTTGCTCAAGACCTGCTTGACTGTAAATATTTGATCCATTGTCGATCTTCCCCGTCTGAAGCCCGTCTGATATTCTCCAATAATATTTTCTGCTAGTGGTTGGAGTCGCTGGTTTATAATATACGTGAGGACTTTAGACGCTCTACATAGTAGAGAAATTCCACGGTAGTTTTTGCATTGGAGTTTGTCTCCTTTTTTATAGATTGGGCATACTATACTTTTCTTCCATTCGTCGGGTATTTTCTCTTCTTGCCATATTTCTTTGATAAGCGCGTGGATATGACTTGATAGGTGGTTGCCACCTACCTTATACAGTTCTGCTGGAATCTCGTCAACTCCCGGGGCTTTATTGTTTTTCTGGGCCTTAATAGCTTCGAGAACTTCCTCTATGGTTGGAGCTTCTACTTCAACTTCGTTCTCTTCTACATGGTTCGTACCCATTTCATCTTCCATATCTACTTGTGTTCCAAGTAGGGTCTGAAAATAATGCTTCCAGGTTTCCTGTGACTTTCTGTTGGTCACTGATTATTTGCCCACTTTCATCTTTGCATAGGCTTGTTTGAGGTTTATATCCACTTTTTATCTTTTTTAGGTATTCGTAAGCTCCTCTTAGGTCGAACACGTCGATTAGTATTTATAGTTGCGCATTTTTTCCATAAAAACTTTTTATACGGGGTGTATCAGATAACGGTGGCCAATACCAACTTGATTATTTTAAATAGAAAACCATGTATGTTATTAATTTTTAGATTCCTCAGACCATTTTAGACATTTTTTGAATACAATGTTTGACTGTTTCGGGAATACTAAGTAAATTGCAAAAATTCACATTTAGAAAAGAAAATTATCTATTTGCCGAAAGTCGCCACAACATATTCAAAAACCTCTAAATAATACAAATCTAAACAATAATGTCAATGTAGGAGATGTTCGAAATGCTACCCATGAACGTCTTGCCAACACCCTAAGAAAAAGTGTAATGACGTCAAATCGGGGGATCGTGGTGGCCATTTCATCGATCCTTGCCTCCCTATCTACTGATTTGGAAATATTTGGTTGAGGTACTGCCGGACATGGATTTGGTAGTGATGTGGTGCTCCATCTTGTTAAAACCATATTATATTCGCTGGAACTTGTGGGCGTCCTGGATCAGAATACAAGTTGGCCAACGTTGGCACTACATTATTTTGTCGCAATGCTAAATAATTGTCGCCATTCAAATTGCCATCTATGAAAAAGAGACCTATGATCTGATCTTGACCTTATTGTAATAATATCGATTTACTTTTAGACGACCTGATGATGTGTATGGATTTATATATGAAACCTTTTTAATAAAGGATTGAGTAACAGGATCCCTTTGTTTTCTTCTCTAATTTTGTGACCGATATCGCCCCCATAAGCAGGTATCCTTGTGAACTACATTTTGTATTTCAATTGAAGAAGAGATTTTTCAAACCATGATTCACAAATTGAACCCTCCATATCCTCATGGATATGGAGGGTTCCGCCTACTTCGCTGCTACGTGTTCTCGGTCTTACTTTATGCTGTCGAGTCCTGGACTGTGAATAAAATCGATCTAAATCGCCTTGAGGCTTTCGAAATGTGGTGCTATAGAAGAATTTTAAAAGTTTCCTGGGTGGAGAAGATTCGTAACTCCACAATACTAGAACGTCTCAGCAAGACTACTGAGATCATAAAAGCATCAAGCAGAGAAAGCTGGAATATTTCGGTCATGTAATGCGAGGGTCCCAAGTATAGATTGCTACAAAACATCATGCAAGGAAAAATAGCAGGCAAACGCAGTCCAGGACGAAGAAGAACCTCATGGTTGAAGAACTTGCGAGACTGGTATGGTGTAGATACAAGCATGCTATTTAGGGTGGCAGTGAATAAAATTAAAATAGCTATGATGGTAACCAACGTTCTGAAAGGACATGGTACATGAAGAAGAAGATATCCTCATGATAATCTAGATTCACGTCATTAATTTTTACTTTTTAATTAGAACAGTTTTTTTATTATTCGTCCATTTTTTTTTTCACGGTGTCATGAGTATCATACCAGGTCCAATCCAAATAAACAATATTTCGTTTAAAATCATGAGTATCATACCAGGTCTAATCCAAATAAACAATATTTCGTTTAAAAATAAAATAAAATATTATAGCGGGAGACCGAAACGAAATTTTTTCGGATAAACTACTTTATGGTTTCGGTCGCTCAGGCAAATATTGTTATCTTACCCAAAGAATGCATAAGTTTGCCCATACAAGATAACGCATTGTGATTTGTCATAATAGCGATATCCGATGTTTTCATTGGCTCATGGTCCACGTGGACTGATCAACAATTCGATGATAACTTCAACTGGGTGACTTGACTGCCCATATTTTCAAACATAATACCAGGCACATATGAATGTAAATATCGATGAGAATATTAAAACTTTGTATTATTATACATCTGTCATTGATAATTTTGCAGTTAATAACTACTCCTGGTAGAGTACTTTTATTTGAATTTTTATTGCCTGCTTTTATTACAGATAAATATATTTCTACAGTCTCACCGAAATACGAGGCGACTATACCTGCATCAAAGAGTGTCACGAAAAAGGGTTTGCATTTGCTAATTTCTCTAATATATTTCTACTAGTAGAGCGTATATGTCGCTCATGAATCATTCATGAAGTAGTAAATACATATATATATATACATACCTCTTTACGATATTTGAAAATCAAAACGAATCGTCATCTGAATCATCAAACATGTACTTAGTTTTAGCCACGTTTCGTCCAGCTCTAACGGGCTTTTTAGATTCTTGACTCAGGCTATCAACATCCATTACTTCACCACCAATAACAAAATCGTCATCATCAACGTTCTTCTTTTTACCTTTAGTAGTCTTTTTGGGAGGCGTGTCATCATCTATTAGTATATCATCATCTACAAAAACATTTATGAATATTAAAAAATAAACAAAAAAATGTATTAAAGACAAAAGTGAAATATTTTCATACATAAATATCACGCCAATAACTTACCTGATTCCAAAGTCTTTTTAGCCTGAGGTTTTTTTGTTGGAATTATTTCTATGTCGCTATTGTCTGAATCAATTTTAGTTTTAGCTTTCTTTTTTTGTCTAGGTTTCTTGGGTTTATCTTCTTTAGGCTCTTTAGGCTTTGCTTTTGGTTTAGGTTTTGCTTTTTCTTTAACGGGTTCGAACGCCTCGTCATCACTCGAATCATTATATTTGGGTTTTCTTTTCTTTACATCGAGATCGGACTCTGAATCGTCAGCTTTTTTCCTTTTATTTGTTTCAATGGGTTTGCTCTCTTGTTCTTCGTCATCATCTTTCTTTCTTCCGATCAAGCTATCAAACATATCCTCCGATGTTTCATGCCTGGGTTGGGGTTTGGATTCTTCATCGGAACTTTCATGTAACACCTACAAAATACCGTACATAAAAAAATTTATATACAAAATCATTGAATGTATAAAAAAATGTTCAAAATGGCCTCCCTCGACGTCAATACATAATCGCAGGCTACATTCCAAAGAGCGACTTAAACTAGTTAATACGTTTCTGTTTAATCTCATACATTTATTTCTAATTCTCGTTTTACAACAACGTTTTAGAACAACAAATATATTCGTTAGTCAACGTAAATAAATAATTGCAATATTAGAATTTTTTTCGAAAATGTAAGTAAAATTAAGAATAAGTAAAGTAAGTAAGTAAGTAAAATTAAGAATAGTTGAATAGCCACTGAAAAAGATGTACCATACTGAATCTAAAAGTTAAAATAAGCCTACCTCCTTATAATAACTCGCTTCCTTAACAGCCTCATTATCAAACAACTCGTCTTCTTTGTCAGAAAACTTCTCATCGTCGTCATTATCGGACAAGGTGTAGTTTACTTTAGTAGCAGCTCTTCTATTAAGAACTCTTTCTTTAACTGGATTACTCGCCTTTGATACAAATTCTACATCTGATCCTGAACCAGACGCAGCCAACTCGTCTTCTGATTGGGACTCTTTCTTCTTTCGCCCTTTCTTTTTAGGAGAACCATTTACTACAAAAGATTACATTTTATATAAACGAAACATTAATTGTCCAGTCGTCAGAGATTTGATCTCTAAAAATTATACGAACAAGCTGAATTTTGCCGAGTATATTAATTTGGAGACCCCAAGAAAGATGCAAAAATTTTTACCGCCATTACCCCAGGGCTTTCCTTTAAAACACATCTCGTATGGGGGTAAAAAGGCAAAAAAATCGGATTACCAAGCTTCTGTACGCCGTAGAAAAAACGTTTCAAATAAAAAATGTAGCTGTGATAATTTTAAACAAAACTGTTTATTAGCACTTTTTGCGTATAATGAACCGTTCTCTCAGAAACAACGCTTGAAGCGACCGGTAATTTTGAATGTTAGTTAAATTTGTATAAACTCGACGGTAAAAAATCGAAATATTTTAAACAGAGTGTCCTATCGACAAAAATCAAAATGCGTTTTTAAGGTGAAGAGTGTAGCTTTCGTATACAATTTTTGTATTTTGCCGCAAATGAAGTCAGTTTCTATAAAGCTGTTCAATAAATAAACTTCGTGCGATTTTTGCCATTTTTTACGATTCTCTTGAGGCCAATAAAATTTATAGAGGAAATATGTAAAGCAAGGTAAAAGTGGTAAACTTTTTTGCATCCTAAAATTGACATTTTCTGCAAAATTCAGCTTGTTCATATGATTTCTAGAGGTTCCGTAGTACTTTTATCTCTGATGACTGGAGTATGAAATTTAAAAAAATAATAAATGAAAAATTTTGGTTATAAATCTTTATTCTTATGGAATTGTTGGCTGTTAAAAAATAAATATTTCCATATAAAAAATTATTAAAATACCAAGGGTTGACTCCTGTGGTCCACCCGTGAACTTGACATATACTTGAGAAAAACTTTTGACACCTTTATTTTTCAACACAGTCCCCCCAGTTTTATAGTGTCTTAGAAGAAATTTGCTTAGACAGTGTCTATCACTTCATTATTGGTCGAACATTTTCCCATAAGTTTTAGAAACAGTCTGAAGTCACTCGGTGTCAAATCTGGAGAATATGGGGATAGATCTGCAGCCATTGCAGCCAAGGACTTTTGTGCTGGTGCGTTGTCCTGATGGAGGACTACACCTTTTCTTAACGTTCCCCTTTCGTTGCGGCTTCCCAATTCTGGTATTAGTTGCGCATAGTAAGAGACTGTTACAGTAGTTCCTTTAGTAAGGGACAACTAATGTCCATCTTGTGCAGCTCTAGATAATGAATTTGATTCCAGACCAGTCCCATCTATATTTTTCAACCAGAAATATTTACATCTTCCTAGTCCCCTTTCACCTTCTATTCTCCCTTCAACTATTAATTTGAAAAGTTTTGCTTTACTATTTCTTACGGAATGGTCAAGATAAGCAGTATTTCTATTTTAACATTAGAAATCAATGCTCTTTATTAAGTCTTTGAAGGAGTTCCTCATTACGAACATGATCCATCCAGGGTAGTTTCAAGGGACTTCTGTAAATACACATTTCAAATGCTTCTAAACCTTTTAAAATCTCAAAGATTTAATTTTATCATTTAAGTCTCACAGTCATAAAGAAAACTAAATGATCATAGCAATGAACAAAACATAAATTTCTCATTTTGTTTGAACTTGCTTGCTCTACTTTTGATCAGGATCTATATTCGATGTAAACCAGGAATCCAGGAATTGAAACTTACTCTCTTAAACCCACTTACTAATGAACATTATCTAAGTTTCTGTGACATTTATTTTAAAACCCAATGCATATCCTTCCTGAATTAGCTGATTTCGAAGATGTGAAAGAGCTTCTGGATGATCAGCAATAATTGTATCATCTGTATACTTCAGATTGTTATTTGTCAATTTACACTTTTATTTATTGACAAAAATGGTAATATTTAAAGCGATGTGTATGAAGTTTCTAAGGCAATAAAAAAGGAATTGACATGTCAAAGTTTTTCTAGTGTAGTGCCATTTTTAAATAATTTAATATCTTTGACATCTAGCCATACAATATTTGCCATCATGGGAAAAAATCATGTCCAGGCTTAGAGAATTGGGCGTTAGTGATTACCTGATCAACGTAATTAATGGATACTTTACTGACAGGTCCATAAGAGAAAAATATATCAGCATCAGTTTGTAGCAGGGTTCAGTACTATACTACGTTCCACGTTAAGAAAATAACATTGCGGAGATAGGGCCATGTATTTCTTATGGACGATAGAAACGCGGCGTTGCCACGACACACACAAGCACAATTTAGGGTTATATAATTTGTATTTTCGTGTCCACAGACATGAATTAAATTAATGTTTTTTAACGTAATTGACCAAAAGTTCCCATTCGAAACAAGAGATGAAAAGTAGGGAAAATGATTTTAATTAGATAAATAGTATTTACAAAAGATAATTTTATTTTATCTTATTTTAATTATAGTAACGATAGTTTATTTGTTTTTCGGTGAGAATACCATAATATGCCATGAATCATAGAAATCAGTAGAAAATATTGCTTAGTTAAATCATGCATTTTGCCGCCTATTAAAGCTTTAAAAGCAAATAAATTGACCGCTTTGAATGCGTATATCTAATTACTAATTGCAACTTAAAATAATACGATGTGCGTATGTCAGCGATTTTATGTCGTTCTCTGACTACATAATGATAATAAGGGTTTTATTTAGTAGTTATTCTGACTTTACATTTAAATGTTAATTGAAAATGAAAATTCAAAAATTAAGCAAACGGAATATCTTGGACATCCATGCAAAAGAAAGTGTCTGAGAGTTTTGGCAACACTGATCTCCATAAGCGTAATGTTATTTTCTTAACTTGAAACAAAGATTAGATCCCATCCTGTGGAATGTCCTGTACGATGGGGTGTTGAGGCTACAGATGCCACTCTTGTAACTTATGCGATGATCTCGCGCTGGTTGCGAAGGCGAGTCAGAAAACGGGCATTGCTAATGCGGCTAACACATCCCTGCGTCGTATTAATAGGTGGATCAGAGAGAACGATCTACAGCTAACGCCTCAGAAAACTGAGGTGTTAGTTCTCAAAGTGAGCCGGGGAAAATCCTCTCTTCGCTTTATAGTGGAAGGTGTGGAGTTAAATCGATTAGGTATCTGGGAGTCTGGTTGTCGGAATGACTAAGGTTCAGACCTTATCCAGACATCCTAAAGACGGTAGAAAAGGCGAATCGAAATCTGAAAGCGTTGATATGGCTGATGCCAAACATTGCGAAACTGAACACTGCGAAATACGCTAAGCTAATGGAGACTTCGCAAAGGCGAATGCTCCTAAGCGTATCTAGTGCATATAGGACGGTTTCAAATCGGCTTATATAGAGGACGGCTTTATATATCATTGGAGCGGTGATACCGATCGTTTTGTTGTGCAAAGATCGAGCGAGGTTGTATGCGAGGATGGATGTAAATATAGATGAGAATGAGAGATAAAGAACGATAGTAGAGTGGCAGATAGAATGGGCGAATGATAGCGGCCGTGGTGGGAATGTATGTTCAGGAAATTAGACTACTTCCTGACGTGACATGGTAGTTTTGTCAAGTTCATAAATAGAATAGCCAAATCTGCCTCGGCAGACTGTACTGTTTGTGGGGTACCGGACGCTCCCGCTCACATTTTTAACTGTCAGAGATGAGCAAATGAGATGGGAGATTTCGAGAGGCGAATGGGTTTCGGACTGGATGAAAGAAATATTGTAAACATAATGTTGAGAGTAGAGAAAGAATGGAGAGAAGTACACCGTCTGATTTCTGGGGTGATGAAGAAAAAGGAGCAGGACAGAAGAGGAAATTGAGACAGGGATGTGAAATTTATAGTTAATATTATTTATCAGTTTATGGCCTAACGTCTGAAATATTTTCGGATTTACGCTAATAGGTATGGTTATTTATAAGTTTTTAGTTTTTTATTTTAGTTATTCATTGAGTGGCAAGACCACCTCTCTGGAACGATGGTTAAGGTTTTAGCCGGAACACGGTTAATCCGGCACTACCCTGGTGTCTTCTGGCCTAGTATCTTACTCGGCCGAAGAATGCCAGGGTGTCAGAATTCAATGGATACCTTCTTGGGCTCTTACTGGAATCTGGCAATACGACAATTGCCATACAATAAAAAAGCCATACAAAAAAAAAGCCATACAATATACAGTGTGATCACTATTTTCAAATATTCTCATTTTTTTAAGAGCTACATAAAATGTCTTACGAAAGACATTAAACAGAAGTTTACTTACCGGAAGGGAAGTTTAATTTGGATTGTTTCAGTCCATCTCCAGCGGTTTTCTTTTTCTGCTTCTTTTCTAGTTCTTCGGGTGTGCCTAATTTATCTTTCAGTGTTTTCTTACTCTTAACCATTGAATCAAATTCATCTTCTTCCTATACATAAAGAATATTCTTGATTATATATACAGTGTAGGTAAAAGTTTATGGTCGGTATAGTAGAATTTAACAGGATATCTAATACAGATATAAAATCATATTTTCAGCGAATAGGCAAAGGTAATAATCATATTTCCCCTTGGTCTCCCCTCTACATTCCTTATGCACACCCATTAGTGAACACCAGACGATTATTTCTGATCCAGCTTATACGTAAGAAACAGCGGCAGGGTTGCCTTATTACATATTTGAATTAAAACATTGAATTGATTAAAAACATTGGTGTTCAGTAACGAGGTTATATTGCCATTCAAAACTGGATGATGATATTAAAAATGAAGCACTAATTGACACAAATACTGGTACAAAATTTCTTAAATCCATGAAAAATTTACAGATTCTTTTTTTTTTTTTTTTGACGAATTTGTAACCTAATTTCCAATAAAACAAGATAATTTTAGCACCAACGTCATTCGTCCGTTCTCTTGAATTGAAAACTGCATAGGAGACAGGCCGAACGATATGCTATGTATATCTTTTTGGAGGTAATCGCGTAAGTGTGAAGATAAAATTTTGATATGCCGACTGTTTATACAACAGAAAAACCGGTACAAATAATAAAATAGTACTTTGGGGGCAATTTAGTACAAGAAACTATTAATCTATTAGTATTGATTTTGAAAATAGGCCAATATCTATAGAAAAACCTGTATTGGCCATTATTCATCAATTTGAAAAATTTGGCACATGTAAAAAATGCTGCTCATCGGATCAACCTCGCGAAAAGAAAATTTCTCAAGAATGAGAAATTAGAGAAATTCAAGTTTGTACATTGGCTGAAGCGACGCCGTGTTCAAGTAAACAAATTGCCTATGAAGTTGATTTGAATGCAAAAACAGTGAGGAATATTTTGAAAAGAAACAACTACCATAAGTGCAGACAACTCAAGAAATATTGATGATCAACTTAAACGGATGCAATTTTGTGAAATTATGATGGAGAGATGCTATGCAAATAATAATTTTTTGAATATTTTGTTCACAGATGAGTCTTCCTTCACAATTCACAAAAAACAATCCATCCGTCGTACTTTATTGGTTTCAGGAGAATAAGCATTTGAGTGTGTCTGTGCATACGCAGTGTCCACAAAAGTTGAATGTTTGGACTGGAATTTTGGGAGACCATATAATTGGTCCTTTTTTCATTGAAGGCAATTTAATCGCAGTCAAATATCTACAATTACGGCAAAATCAAATTATTCCTGCACTTTAACGTCTTCAAATGAAGTTAAACGAAATTAGGTTTCAACAAGATGGCTGTCCTGCACATAATAGAAAAGCCGTTAAGAGGCTATTTAGCGTTAATTTTTGCTGAACGTATCATTAGTACAGACGGTACAATAAAATGACCCCCTCGGTCACCCGTCTAGCTCCTCTAGATTTTTATTTTTGGGAGTGCTTGTACAGGCATGAGTTCGAGCGAGCCACCAACTTGGAGGAACTGACGGAAAAGATAATCCAACTTAGCCAAAACATATCAACAGATGAACTAACGCCATGAGAAATGCGTTGTATAATAGATTTGGTTACTGTTCGTTTCAATTTGGTGATCTGCTTGAACATTTAATAACCCAAGAATTTGGTTTAGAATTTCTAATTGTTTGGAATTATTTTTAATTTAAACAGTAGTGTTGGAATTATTTTTTATTTGTATTTCATTTTTATAGAACAAATTTTATACTGTTATACTAATTTTATCTTTGTTTCATTATAGAACTAATTCTTATTTTCACATCTACTACCTCGAAAAAATCTAAACGAAAATATGATTTCAAAGAAAATATTTGGAAAATACCAAATAATATCTTATTTTTAATTAAAAGACGTAATTTTTCGTCTAGTTTAAATTTAATATAACACACCTGCTCCTTCCCAATACTTTACTGGTACTGTCTTTATAGATTATGCATTATGAAATACTAACTCACTATAAAGCCATTCAATACTCATGGCATAACAAACTAGTTCTGTTCTGGTGTTCTGCTTGTTACTACAGTGTCCTTACTTTGACGACGCAACGTGTCCAAATAATTTTGTATGAAGCTTTTTTATTGTGGTGTCATAATGCAGTTTATTATTTGTATTGGGACTAGGGCACAATGTGACTTTAAAGTAAGCTTATTTTGACGTTTAGATCTCCAATTCGGAAGGAAACTTTCGATACCATTCACGAGACTCATATTTCAATTATACAAGGGGGCCGCAACATAATGATGAAAGAACTTAAGACCAAATATATGAACATCACTGTAGAGTTTGTCAAGGTTTACTTAAATCTTTGTGTACTGTGTCAAAGGAAAATGAGTATTCCAAAAAAGGACTCGTTGTGAAGTCAATTATAAGTAGTGCGTTTAATTCGAGATGTCAAGTTGATCTTATTATTGACATGCAGTCACAAGCGGATGGTGACTATAAATTTATTATGGTCTATCAAGACCATCTTACGAAATTAAAAACCAAGCGCGCCGAAGAAGTTGCGTACCATTTGTTGAAAGTGTTTACCATATTTGGAGCTCCACACATTTTACACAGTGATAATGGTCGAGAATTCGCAAATAAGATTATTGAAGAAGTCTGCAGTATGTGGGACGAACTGAAAATTGTCCACAAAAATCCCAGACACAGCCAGTCGCAAGGTTCGGTAGAGAGAGCGAACCAAGATATCGAAAAAATGTTGGCCTCATGGCTGGAAACAAACAAAACGAGTCAGTGGTTGGAAGGCACAAAGTTCATCCAATTTATGAAAAACAGAGCTTACCATTCCGGCATTAGCTGTAGTTCATACGAAGCACTATTCGGTTGTATGGCTAAAGTAGGATTAAAAACATCCTTACCTGCTGGAACTGAAATTAGAAGCAAAGGAGATTTAGAAGCAATATTAGCAGATGAGTCCGATGTCCGATACTGATGATAGAGCAAAGCACCGTGGTAATTTGGATGTTAACAGTACAACCGAGGATTCACAATTAGCGAATATTGAATATCCCGGTAACGGTAACAGCCCAATAGAATATAATGCATGTGCAATAGTTGCTGTCAATGGGGAAGACAAGACAATTGGAGTTGAAGAAAATGAGGGACACGAAGAAGATGGCACTGAAGTTGAGAAAACTTCAAAGAAAATTCAAGAGATTCGAGATCTTGCTAAACAGTCACTTATAAAACAAGCTGACACAATGTTAAAGCATTCTAATGATATATTCCCTGTTGCAAAAGTAGGTGAAAGTGTTATGAGTGCGAATTCCACAAGTTGCTGGAGCTAAGGCCGATAGCCGAAATATTATTGCCAATATTATTTCTGTTAAAGATGAAAGGCTGTATAAGCTAGGCATCAAGGATGGTATTTTAAACCAACTTTATGCAAGAAACGAATTTACCATCTGCAAGGAAACACTTATTTCAGTCAATGATGTACCTGCTACTGAAATAAGTCTGAGGGGATACGTAAAGATTCGAATTTAGGTGGTCAAGGATTCCGTCACTGCAATTGAAGTGGCCAATGCAACTCAAATCGCTGCAAATATAAAAAAGCAAGTGTTGTGTGTAATTCTAAGTGCCACAAGAACCTGTCCTACAAAAACAAGTAATAGTCTGGTAACTTACAGCTAATGCGTACGAGTATGTACGAGTTTGTTTTTACTTATTGCATGTCTAGTTAGGATTTTTGATTGCTAATATTGTTTAAGGGCATAGGCGCAAAATGTCGCCTGATAAAAATGTTCAATGTATTTTTTTCGAATCTTAAATAAACTAATAAATATTTTTGAAAAATTTAAAGGCAAAATGAAAGAGTACATGATTACCGAGGGCCGAAAACCCTGAAAACAGGTATGTTTATTTTAATAAGTTACAGTTATTTTTAATTGCAAATATTTCATTCAAAAGAAACTTTTTATTTATTCTGATGAACTTGAAGCCCTCGTTAATAACGTAATCTTTCATTCTGCGTTTAAATTTTTTAAAATACTAAAAAAATAAATACATTTAAAACACATTGAAAATTTTGACAGGAGACATTTTGAGCCTTTCCCCTTAAGAGGCCTGTGTACCAGCCATAAAAATGAGTAAACGGGGCATAAAAATGAAGGAAAACGGCTTAACTGAAATAAATAAAATTTTGGGTTTTGCTTCAAAAAAAAAGGCTTTTTATCGCTATGTTTTTATATTTTTGAAAAACCAAAATTTTTTTTTGTTAATTTGAAAATGATACGTTTATTTAAAAAAATGCAGCAGTGCGGCGTTTAATATGATTTTTCTTAATATATGAACTAATAATGTATTCAATAAAAATGAATGTAAGTCCTACATTCCATGCTTCAAAATTTTCAAAAAAGTAATGACCAAATCAGAAGACGCTCGAACTTTCCAGCGGATCTGACAACGTCGATGTGAGGGAGCCGCCATTAGCGGCACTGTCTGGCTAATGTTTTTGATGTTAGAAAAGAATATATTCCAGTTTGATTATAATTATCGTCTGGCGCGTGCCACCAAATTACGTTCGTCGATTACAGAGTTGGCTGTCGGGATTTTTAGTTTTTTCGTATATTGTGTTAGTTGTTGTGTTCTTTTTAATTATATTAATTAATAATTTTCTGTTGTTCATTGTGTGAGACTAAGTGTAAAAAGTAGTGTGAAAAACAGTTTTAATTATACCATGGGTCGCTCACATCGAGCAATAAGACAAACGAGGGAATCTAATCGTTATGAAAAGGAGACCAAAAAAGTAGGAGCGATTAATTACAGGGACCCGATCCGTCAACTGCGCATGTGCAATCTTTGAAATTACATCAAAAGTGACAATCTCCAAACTAAAAAAATCTGAGCAAATTTATAAAAACTATTTAGGCATACAAATCGGAAATTTTAAAATATTTATTAGAGGAAAGTGCCCAAATGTGGACCATCCTCCTAAAGCGGACCCCTACCTTTCTTGGTACGTTTTAATTTAAATCGTGGCAGCAATGGGTGCAAATGGTATATTAGAGTTCCATGACTGAGTGGTGAAGTGCACAAGCCGGCTACGTCACTTATTGCTTGCCAGTCGCCTTGCACGTGTGTTGGTTGTGTGGAAAGTTTTTACGTTGTGTTATATTTTTTATTATTTCTTCGAGATATTAGCAGGTAAGCTATTCAATCTATATATTATTTTAAATAATAGGGTTTGGGCTCATTGTTTCTCACTAATATAGTTCATATAATGGTGTGGTTAAAAAATTATGACATTATTAAAATGTATGCTATAGTCGCTTAAACCGGACCCCCCGTAGTTGCCTAAATCGAACCCCTTATTTTTTAAATTTAAAACTTCGCTGTTATGCAACTTCGCACTTCTATGATTTTCAATTTTGTTACAGATTAAAAATCAATTAAATGGGGAAGATCGAACAGAGAAAGTGGAGTCCGTCTAAAATGACTAAGGCCATTGATGCAGTTCGAAATAAGAAGATGGGGTGGAAGAAGGCGAGTAAATATTTTAATGTGCCGAAGACAACGCTGATGAGATTAAGCAAAGATAAGTATGGTACGCCTATCGAAGCAGCACTAACAAAAAGAGGCAGACCTACAATATTAGGGAGCCCCATCAGGAACAATTTTTGCAGTGCATCCTTCAGGTTGGATTCAAATCAAACTCCTTCACTCAATGGTTTAAGCACTTTATTGACTTTGTCCATCCTACAAAGGAGAAACCTGTGCTTTTACTCTTAGATGGCCATTATAGCCACACTCAAAATATTGAAGTGATCGATTTGGCAAGAACACACCATGTTACCATTGTGTCCATACCACCTCATTCCTCACACAAACTTCAAACTTTGGACAAAAGTTTCATGAGTTGTCTCAAAACTTACTACAGTGAGGAAATAAGGCAGTGGTTAAGAAACAATGAAAGGCCACTTACAGCTTATGATGTAATGGAGCTCTTTGGCAAAGCATACATTAAATGTCAAACAGCTGAAATTGCAATCAATGGGTTTAAAGCCACAGGAATATACCCACTCAACAAGGAGCTCTTTTCTGATGCCGAATATATTGAAAAAGCAAACAAAATGCGAGATTCATCTTTCTACGAATCCATGTTAAATAAAAAAACGGCAGGTAATGAAAGCTCTACAGCGATTAGTGAAAAATGTGTTATGACGATGAATGAATCACAAGTTAATGCAGAGTTTTACCCGAATCAACCGTCAACATCTTCGGCAGGTCAAGGTAATCCTGTGTTACCATCTACATCTGACAATCCTCATAGTCCAAAATCGTCTATGATAAGCCCGTTTGAAATTACTCCTATTCCAAAAATCAAAAAAAGGACCACTAATAGGGGACGGAAAGCCTGCAGTTTAACAATCATCACAGCTTCTCCTAATAAATTCAAGTTAATGGAATCTAAAAAAGCTAAAAAAGCCATGAAAACTGAACAGCAAGAACGCGATCAAAGTTTGAAAGGCAACCGCGGCGTAAAAGGTTGTTCGACAGCAGGCCCTTCGAGAAAAGGGAAAGAGATAGTAAAAAGATGTCTAAATTTTAAGAAATAAGAATCAGACACAGAAGATGAAATCAGTGTCTCTTCTGGAACATCTGAATTTGACATTATTCCGGGAATGTCACTAACAAAATATTCGGAAGATTGTAAAGGTGAACTTTGGGTCTTGTGCATTATATGTTCGTTGTGGGCTCATGTGGATTGTGCTGGGGCTGATAAGGATGCCTACATATGCGATTTTTACAGATAAATTAATAATTTTGCTAACTATTTTTGTATATTTTATGTTTTTATATTCGAAATTGTTCCAATATACGTCTATTTAGAAAGTAGATCATGTTTTCTTTTATTTAATACTTTTTTTTTAATTATTGGTACAACTTTGTTAATAATTTTTAAGGGGGTCCACTTTTAGCAACTATTTTCCGAATTCACCAAAGGCTAGATTTTGGAAAATACATATTTTTTATATTAATTTTTAATTATTAATAATGAAAGTTTAGTATAAATGAATTATAACATTATGAAGTAAATGGTATGTACTTTTATAATTTTCCATTATAAATCCATTAGATTTTTCATCAGATGATAGTCTTGCAGATCCAAATTTTGTCCCTGCGAAGGATGAAAAATATGATAGCTTTGCTGCGGACAGCGATAGAGTAGAAAGAAAAAAAAGAAGACCCAATTCAGATGAAGATATAAATAATACTGCAGTAGACAAATATAACTTAGACGGGCAAGTCCACGAGAAAGTTAAAAAACGCACGAACAAAGAAACGAGAAAAATGAGACAAGAGAGACGAGAAAAACGAAATTTTGGTAAGGCGTATGTTACAAGAACTGGAAAAGAGATTAAAGAAAAAACTATGCAAGAACTGAAATTATCTAGAAATAAGTGCAAGGAAAAAATAAAGGACGAATTTCGCTTGCAACTTTTTAAAGAATTCTGGGAAATGGGAAGCTACAATCGTAGGTTAGAATATATAGCTGCTCTCATGGATGTTAAAGAGAAGAGTTCTATGCGAATAAGGTGTTCTGACCCAAGCAAACAACGGTACCGACAGCATACCATAATTTATCATTTCCCTCTTCATGGCGTTCGTTCTGTTGCTTGCAAGGACTGTTTTATGAAAACTTATAATATTAGTAAGAAATTCGTAGAAGTTATAGTAGCGAAAAAATGTTCTCAAATATCAGGCGTAATGACATTAGACCAACGAGGATATCAATACCTATATCAATACCTAACAAAAGATTTAGATCCTAAAGTTGAATACGTAATAATGTATTCAGACTGCTGTCCTGGCCAGAATAAGAACAGGTTCATAACAGCAGCTTGCTTAATTGCTTTACAATGCTCTGCAAATTTAAAAATTATTGAACACAAGTTTTTACTATCAGGCCATACACATATGGAGTGCGATACGGATCATAGTTTAATAGAAAAAAAGAAGAAAAAATTTAGTAGTCAAATAGAACATTTTGGAGGAAACGTCAATTTTTAGTTACAGAAATGCAGCGCTCTGCGTTTCTTAATTTTGTTGGCTTATTTAATTCTGTATTAGTTAACCGCAAAACTGATACTCAAAATAACAAGATAAACTGGAGACAATTTTGTTGGTATGAAAAATCTAACCAGTTTCAATACAAGTTGTCCTTTGACAAAGAAGAACCTTTTAAGACCGTAGATTTAGAAAAGAGGGGAAAAGCAGCTATAAATTTATTACCCAAGGAGGCATATAACAAGCCTGTGCCGATAACGATAGAAAAGAAAAAGCACCTGATGGACTTACTGCCGTATATATCAGAATCACTGTAGGACTTTTACAAAAATCTACCCACAGATAAAGACTTAGCTGATGTGCTCCCGGATTCATCAACTTCTGGCGACGATTAAAAGTTTGAAGTATCTTGTAGCTAGATTTGTATGCACAAGTAATTTATGTTTAATGTTTTTAGTACATAAATATATGTAGCACTTAAGTAAGCTTGTATTAACGTAATAAAATTTTCCATTATCCTGTGTTATCGTTATTATGTTCAACTACAAAGGGGGTAAATCATGTGAGTATTTGTGAAAAACGAGGTAAGTCAAATAAATATCGTTTTAAACATATTTTTTTCCCAAATACTCAGCAAAAAAATCTTAATACATGTAGGAAAAGTACATGTAAAAACAAATTTCAAGTAGATTATCATTCAAAACATCTGTAAAAAAACATCATTTTTTTGTAAAATTTTAAATAGTGTTTTTCTCGTTTTCACATTTTATGACTTGTCCCCCTTTTCACGCGCAACAGCGACATATATTTATTACCTAAAAAGAAAAATTAGACAGTCAATACAAGTTTTTATAAAAGCTCCTATCAAGAAAAAATATAAAAATTTTCCCTAAAAAATACAATTACATTTGGGTATGTATTACAATTTTTGCTTTTATTTTTCAAAGACATTTCACTTATCATACATTATTTTTGATGACAAAATAATGTAGATATTTGTAGGCGAAGAAACTCAAACTACTGGAGTTCAAAATAAACTAATAACACACAAAACAACCTTTATTATATTTTAGTATATTTTTAAGTAACAATTGTATGTGATATTTGTATTTTAATTAAAAAAAAAAAATTAAATTTTGTAATCGCGCATTACGCCGAAACGTACGAAGTCTTTAAAAAATAAAAATGTTAATACTACAAAAAAGAAAAAAAAATTCATTTAGCCTAGGATTTTTCAACAAAATTAAAATTTATTTATAAGAAATTTTCACCATTTTACTTTATATTATAATCCTATTCTCACTACACGGCGGTTTACTCAGTCCGTTTGCAACGAAAATAAAATAAACCCCGTCCTGCTGTGCGAGTCTTCGTATGTTGATCCCCACGTTGCCACATGCTACAATTGCGTTTCAAAGCGATGGCTCGGCGTAAATCTCAAATTCGACCACGCGGTCGACTACATACTCCTCTTAAGTGTTTTAACTGTTTTTACTTATTACATGTCTAGTTAGGTTTTTTGATTAATAAGTTCTGTTTAACTTTATTACCAAGTTTCATAAATATAACGGTAGCGAAGCCCAAAATGCGTTTTTATTACATTTACCAGAGCTGCTAGGATAGTATTAATAATAACCGGTTAATCTAATTATAAAGGCATTATTAATCACATTGACCAACTGCTAAGGTTATTACTAATATTTACCGGTTATTATTAATACCTACAGACCGGACATCACATTGACCGTAACATATATATTAATATAATACAAAAAAAAATATTAATAAAAAATCAAAATAGTTTATATTTTGAAAACGTCCAAATAAACGAATTTTCTATTAAAATTATGGTTACTTCCCATTAAAAAAAGTTAGTAAATAGAAAAAAAACACGATTTAATACCGATAACAAACAATATTACAAGGTAATACTTACCTCTTCGGCGATATTTTCTCTCTTAATTCCTTTGTTCATTCTGTTAGCTTTGGTTTTAACGGCATTTTGAATTTTCTTCTTCATATCCTCAGAGATAACGGGCTCCACCCTCTGGGCCATTGCGCTAGGCGCCGTATCGAAGAATTTTGGCCTTTTCTTACCCTGTATTGGAATATTATACATTTATTATTAATATATAAATAAAGAATGATTTAACAAATAACAAACTCAAATATAAATTTTCTCTAAATTGACTACCAGTTTTTTCAAAAGTATTTTTTAGTTAATAAAATGGTCGTTTAAGGATTATTTTAAAAAATTGCAGAAATTGTTTTCAATAGTTTAAAATAGACCTATGTTCATTGAAGTCTATTCTTTAACTGATGCAGCAAATTTTGAGGAATAATCACAATCAGCAAATTATTCAAATGATCATTAGAAAAAATGAGCCAGGGCCATCTTCTACTTAAACAAACAGTCACCAGCTTATTACCAGCTTTTATATACCTCCAGTGCCTAGAGTAACATAAAAATTTAGCAATAAATGCATTAACACGGCCAGATCGGAAATAATTTCAAGTCTTCTTTTCAAAAAAAAATAATAAAAATAAAATCTCGACAAAACAACAGCACAACTAAAGAAGTCTATAGAGAAACGAGTACAAGACAAAAAAACTAAACAAAAAGGCAAGAAAAAACAACTAAATGCATGAAAAAGGCTACAACAATTTCAGACGAAATTCAACACACAGTGAATTGCCTGATTTGGATTCTAATGTTAACTTCACAAATAACAGACTAGTTTCATGATATCAATAAGAAATTGTGCATGCAATTATTATATGCAAATTTATTGGGTTAACTGTTTTTTTTTCACTTAATAAATAAAACTAATTCAAGTATGTAGTTATTTATATTTATCTTCTGCTTGTCGGATTCTATGCCACTGGTGAATCAGTAAATATTATGTTTTTTCTTTCTGTTATAATCTGACATTCTTCGTCAAACCAGTTATTCGTTCTTGTTCTTTCTTTACCTTCCACGCCCAGTATTTCTTCAGCTGCTTCTTTTATGCTGTTTCTGCACCCTTTCCACTCTTCATTTATGTTTTCATGTTTTAGTCTGTTTTCTAGTTTGATGTTTATATTCCATATTTTTGTTCGTATCTTTCTCTAGACTCTCGACTCATTCTAGATTGTATTTATCGTTCATGTTTAGAGAACCTATTTCTTTTTTTTTATGTTTAATTCTGGCCCTTACCCTACTTTCGACCTAGTAGTTATCAGAATCCGAATTCGCTCCTCTCCTGACACGGACGTATATTATATTCCATTGGTGTCTTGAGCCTGCAACAGCATGATCTATCATATTTACTCCGTCTGGTGATTTCCAGGTGCATTTGAGTAAACCTTTTCGAACGAAGTTAAAATTATTTTTTGGATAACGGCTTGTTACTATCGAATCCAAGAAAACCAACGATTACCATGAAGAAATGGACGCTCAAAAATTCGAAGGTTGATTTTTTGGTGAATATCTATTATCACAAACTGGCAATGATGTCGTCGCTTTATCGCATTCACATTTCTGAGAATCTACTGCCTACAACTTTGATTCTCAACTATACCAGAGAAATACTAAGTATATCTTCATTATCAGGGATAAAATAGAGACACCGTAGCTACTCAGTCATGTACTTATATGAAAATTTCTGAGGAAGTAATCCAAGGATTACTTCCAAGGCCAAGGAGTATAAGATTTCGAGACCGATGTTTACCATTATGGATATCTTTACTACTATACCGAAAACTTGTCACATTGACAATGTAGCTACACCAAACACTCTTTTTTTATTGTTAATTTTTTTGTTCAAAGAAAAAATAAACTTTTGCAATAAATATTACAATAAATTTTTTTTAATTCTCAAATTATAAACAAAAATAAGAATTCATGATAAGAATTATGATTTCTTGTAGTAAAAAATGGTACCAAATTTAGGAAAATGACAATTTTTTTGGAGTAAATACATAAACACAATATTAAAAAACAATATAAACTCTATACTCAATAACATGAAAACTAGTTGCTACATAAATCATTAATGATCTTTAATTTAATTAATGATTCTTTTAGAGTAAATACAAAAAAAAACAAGGCATTAAAAAACAATATAACTCTACACGAAATAATAGGAAAACTAATTTTATTGCTACATTAATTCAATCATTAATGATGTAAAATAAATATTGGACACAGAGTATGATCATGTTTAGATTAATATTTTTATAATACCAAATTGGTATTAGTATTAATCTTCTCGGATGATATAGCAGTAATTCTATTCAGTAATAGTACAATAGGGTTTTTAATATTATACCTTTTATAAAGGAATTTTTAAATAAATTTTTTGTGATGCATGGCATACAACCAGCTACAGGAATTTAGTTTCCATGTGGATTTTCCAACTCTAACAGTCAATGACTGTCTGCTTTTTTCATGTTTCAGTAACTCAATGATCTGTCCGTTCAAGACATGTTTTGGTATTTTTGAAATAATGTGATAAAGTGATTTTGCAAAGAAAATTAAGTAATATCATGACAATACTCTATGTACAGTAATATACAGAAATATCGAAAAAGAAACACTCAATAATTTTACTGATATGCTTAAATCACAACCGACTTACCCGTCCGGGTTTTTCCTAAGTTGCCAAAAATTATAACAATATTATTAAGATGAAAAAAAAAACAAAAATCATATGAAATGTGATCAAAATATTTCAGGATTAATGCTTCAAAATATACCATATTCAACATTATCCCCTCCAAAGTAATTCCCTTGGCACTTGTACCTTTCCACCAATGTCGATTCACCTACGGCAAATTCTAAAAACTGTTCTTGCGGAATGCTGTTTAACTAATTCAGCGATTTTTTTTATGTTTTTAATCGAGTGAACCTCTGCCCTTTCAAAGATATCTCCAGTTTGGAAAACAAGAAAAATATTTTTTTGTGCAAACATCGAAAGTGCGAAACACAGAATAAACATACGCGATTTCAATCGTTTGAATGAAATAAAAACGATTGTTTCCTCTCATTGGAATAATTGTTGTATACTTCTGTACAAAAAAATTAAATCTGGACAGGAAAAAGCGCTTCAGGATTAAATCTGTTGTCAATTGTGCTGAAGATTCTGGAAAAACTACTCGATAGGCACATTAAAGATGATGTACTGGTTGAAGGTCTGATAAATTAAGGGATAATATGCGTATATAGCAGGATTCTTTACGGAAATGCCACTGTAATCTTGTACAAAGGTTGAAGTACATTTTCGAAAACTTTTAATATCTCTGTTGTGGGTCAATCCATGCCAAGTAGTCCAAAGGTGGATGCTTAACTATTTTTAATATTTTTTATTTTTCTTTTCATCAAATCGTACTAATCTCAGAAAATAAAGTCAAATGTTTTAAAACATCCCAGGCAACTAAATATTTAAAATTTTTCACAACAAATGCTATCTCCATTTTCCTAAGTGAAAATGATGTAATAGCCTGTGTGTATGATGGAAAGTGGTGGCTAGGGGTAATAAAAACTGTCAGCATTGAACATCATGACTTCTATGTGCACCTTTTTGAACCTTCTGCACCCAAAACATCATTTAAGTTAAGTGCTCATGATGAAGCTTGGGTTTACCTTTTCATAAAATCTTAAAGAAAATCACACCCTTAGAACTAAAAACAGCAACTGGACGCAATTATAACATATCTCAAGATTTATGCGATGAAATATCCCAACTTCTGAACTGTCAAAATTCTAATTGAAGGTTAATATTTCTATAATGTAGTATAAATTTGTATTTATTGTGAAATTTGGTGAAAATACATTAACTTTTATTTCATTAGACAGTTTATTTGAATTTTAATTACTCTACCGCAAACGCTCAAATTAATGATTTTTTTGCCATTTTCTCAGGCCTATAACTCCTATATGCCTTAAGTCTACAACTTCAAATTTTTACCCCTTATTCTACTCATTAGGAACTAACATTCAGCCAAATTTCAAATTTTTACTTGCTTGCCCATCAGAGATATAATGGCTCAAATTTTGAAATTTTTAAAAAAATTTCATTTTTGAATTTTTTTTTTTTTTAAATTGACTCAAGTCTCAAAGCTCAAACTTTTTCATTTAAAGTATGTATGTATGTTTTTCCAGAAAAAAATTATAAACCATTATCAGCTTCCCTTATGTTGTTAAAAAAATGCTGAAAACGTAATTTTATCAGTTTATCTTTTCAAACTTTGATATTAATTTAAGGCATTAAGGGTAGTTTGTAATTAAATAATGCTATAGACCATTTTTTTAGAGCATACTTTTCCAAACAGTTTGGTTTTTGATTTATTGTTTTAGGACAAACCTAAGTGAAAATATTGGCTAAAGAGTGAACGTGAAGCCATGTTTTCCGTGAAAATGACAGACACGATGAAACAAAAATGGTCGCCATCGTCAAAATAAATTTTTTTAAAATAAAATGAATGCAATTTTGTACTGTCTATAGATTGAAGTATAAAAGGTAGAAAAATAAAAAATATTAAAAATAATCAAGCAACCAACTTAATTTATATTGGACCACTTCGTATGGATTGACCCTTGTAGTATAAAGCCCGCCTTTTCTCCACGTGTTCTCAAAAGCAGGACTTATTGTAAATAACGCTGACGATGTCCAAAATAATAAAAAAAATTAATCCCGCATTGAATGCACATTGGCAACTACACATCACATCACCCAAGTGCCACGCGCCGTTTTTTCTGGTACAGCTGCCAACTTTGAGGACATTCACGAAGTCCCTTCTGGGACGAACTTCGGACAAAGGTAAACTTCGAACCACCATGGGCCGGTTGTTAGGTCATCATCAGACAAATTGGAAAGGCGTCCAAATACACGCGATAAAAATCAGAAAAAATATAGTAATGTCAATGAAGAAGTAGATATCGATGTATATGTTATCAACAAACAACATATTATGTGACCAAAAGCACAGTGTGAGACATGATAATAAAGTAATTATGTATAATCTTATTTTGTATACATACCGTTTCTTTTTTCTGTTTAGCCTGATTCAACTGCTCTTTCAACTGTTCATCTTTTTCTTTCTTCTCCAACTTGTCCAAATTTTCTATAAAGACATCCAAATCATCGCGCCATAAATCCGATGGTGTCTTTTTCTTTAGATCATTCAGTTCCGTTAGTTTATTTTCTTTTTGATTCAGCAATTCGTTTTTCCTTTCCTCGGTCAACATCCACATAGACATACCTATAATTATGATAAAACTGCGTTTAAAAGAAAGCATTATAACGTGGAAGGGGTTTCAAGGAGTAATGATGCGCAATATAAATGTTGCTTCCTGATAACACCTCTAGCCACTCCTACTCAATTCCTATCCTCACCTCCAAGAAGTGTGATTTAATCACACGGGTGGACCCTCGGGAGAAATGGTCCTCCGAAAAGGGGGTTAGGCATAGGGCTAACAGCCCTATGCTAGAAAACACACATGTTGCGAATGTTCAAGGAAAGAATACCGGACTGATCAAGCGACGACGACTGCGCGAGAAAAAGGAACATGATTTAAGCATCGCGACATGGAACATCCGATCCCTATACAGATCGGGAGCCCTCCAAAATCTGCTCGGTAAACTGAATAGATATGACATAGACATAACAGCTCTGCAGGAAATGAGATGGACTGGGAGTGGCACCATTGAAAAAAGACACCACATTATATTCTATAGTTGCGACGCTAAAGACCACGCACTAGGTAGTGGCTTCATTGTAAATATAGAGTGTGCATCCTGAGACTAAGGGGAACATTTTTTAATTATAGCATCTTAAATGTGCATGCCCCTACAAAGGAAAAGGAAGACGATGTCAAGGAAAAATTCTATGAAGAACTAGAAGCTGCATACCATTCATGTCCAAAGAATGACATCAAAATTATTTATTGTGATCTCAACGCACACATAGGAGAAGAGCAACAATACCTACCAACTATATGTAAGCAGAGCCTTCATGAGGTATCCAATGACAAAGGCATCAGACTAATAAATCTAGCAACTTTCCTTAACATGGTCATTGCCAGCACATGCTCCCAGCGAAAAAATATTCATCCAGATGGGGTCACAGTAAACATGATCAATCATGTTATTATTGACTCTAGACATCACTCAGATGTAATAAACGTATGCAGCAGAAGAGGGGCAAACGCAGACTCGGATCACTACCTAGTGGAAAATAGAATAAGAACCAGAATCTCAAACATTAAAAAAGAAAAGGGATCCAAAATTGAAAAATATGAAATAAAAAACTTAGCAGACAACAGCAAAAATGCAAAATACAAAGAATATATAAAAGGAAGGCTAGAAAATAGACACAAGCACGAGGATATAAACAGAGAATGGGAAGCGTGTAAAAACATCATAAAAGACGCGGCCAAAGAGACTCTGGGTCTACAAAAAAAGCCCAAATCAACTGAAGGACAGTGGTTCGATGAAGAGTGTCGTAATATAACAGAGAGGAAAAATAATGCATATCAACGACTACAACAACGACATAGAACACGAAAGGCAGATGAGGAATATAGAATGCTAAGGAGGGAAGAGAAGAAAATACATCACAGAAAGAAAAGAGAACACATAGAAAACGAACTCCAAGAAATGAAGAACTAAATAAACCATCAGAAAACAGAAAATTCTACCAAAAACTTAACAAAAGTAGAAAAGAATTTAAACCAAGAACAATGATGTGTAGAGACCAAGAAGGAGATACAGTAACTCAACAGAGTGAAATACTACAAAGATGGACAGAATTCTTCAAAGAAAAGTTTGAAAAAAACGAAGACCCACTATATGATGGAATTATACTGGATCAAACAGATACCAGAGAAACAACCCCCCCTTTCAGTAGCTGAAATGCAAGAAGTAGGTACCAGACTGAAAAACAACAAGTCACCTGGATTAGACAACATTAGCGCAGAATGAATAAAAGAAGGTGTATCGAATTAAATAGGAGACTCCCTATTGAATGCAATACACGAACTAATAGTGAACATATGGAATAATAAACAACTGCCACAAGACTGGAATACCGGAGTAATTATCCCACTACATAAAAAGAGAGATCAGCTTCAATGCAAAAACTACGGGGCAATAACGCTACTGACTGTGGCATATAAAATACTGTCAAATATTGTGTATGACCGATTGAGACCATATGCGGAACAAATAGTTGGGGGATATCAATGTGGTTTCCGCAGGCAGAAGTCCACAATAGATCAGATCTTCGTCTTGATGCAAACCTTGGAAAAGACTAGTGAATTTAATATAGACAAACATCATCTTTTCATTGACTTTGAGAATGCCTATGATAGCATCCATCGAGAATTTCTGATCCATGCACTGAGAGAGTTTAATATTCCAACTTAACACATTGATACAGTAAAAGAAACACTTAAGTACAAAGCAAAATTCGAATTCAAAACGAACTAACAGATACAATCCATGTGAGAACGGGCCTACGACAGGGAGATGCCCTATCCTGTATTCTATTCAACATCACATTAGAAAAAATAATTAGGGGGTCAAAAGTCAACACCAGAGGGACAATAATAACAAAAAGTGTACAAATATTGGCATTTGCAGATGATGTTGATATCATAGCTAGAAGCGAAAGAGAGCTGATAGAAGCATTTAATGCGATAGAAAGAGCGACACAAAACAGTGGCCTAAACATTAATGAAATATAAACCAAATACATGAAGGCCAGTAAATCGACAGGCCAAAGAAACCTACAGAATCTGACAATACGAGAGTATAACATCGAAAGCGTGAAAAGTTTTACATATCTAGGTTCACTAGTTACCGCAGATAACAATATCAGTGCAGAAGTTAAGAGAAGAATACATATCGCTAATAAAACATATAATGGACATCTAAGATCTAACAACATCACAAGAAAAACCAAATGCAAAATATACAAGACACTGATAAAACCGGTCCTTGTATATGGATCAGAAACGTGGACACTGTCGAGAAGCGATGACAACCTATTAGGTACATTTGAACGAAAAATCCTTTGACACATATACCGGGTGGTGAATCGCCAAACGGGCCATAGGAAATTCAATGGGAATTTTAAATTGTTGAATTCCTGCTTCCCTAATTATTTTACATCAAAAGTCATAAGAAACCATTTGTAGAGGACTGAAATATATATTAAAAACAAATGTTAAAATTGTTCTGCGAATTAAATGTATTCCAAAATTTTGTAAAAATATAATACATTTTTCATACAAGTCAGGCCAGGCCACACGAGGTACAAGAATGTGTGACATATTGCGTTTGGACATATTGATGATTTTGATATTTGACAATATTTGAATTGTCAATATTTTTATTTTGTGATTAAATTATACACAAATACTAAAATACGCAAATTTTTACAAATACTACTACTACTAGTGTAGTATTGTTTACAAAGTAATAAAATTGATGGAATGTATTCAGTTCATATGAACGGAATTTAATCTTTTTTAAAAATTTTAAGGCCGTAGAATCATGAATATTAAACTGGTCTGCAATGGTCCGAGAATTTATTCTAGGATTTTCTAAAACTGATGTTAATACATTTATTTCATTTTGTTTTTCTAAATTTTTTGGCACCTCTGCAATATTGTTTGTACAGGTACAATTAGAAATCACGGTCCCATTATTTTTAAAATTTTGTAAAATCCTTTGAATTGTTGAATGACTTTGAATTGGTCTATTGGAATATCTTACGCTAAATAAAGAATTGACAATTCTCACACTATTCCCTGAATAAAACATTTTTATTATTGCTAGTTTCTCCTCAACTGAATACATTTTTTATTCATTGTTTTTTATACACTATATTGTTTTTTAAACAATAAATCACAAAATTAAAATTTTGGAAATTCAAATATTGTTAAATATCAGAAACATAAATATGACCAAACGTAACATGTCATACACATTCTTATACCTCGTGTGGTCCTGAATTTTACTATTATACTATTATACTTTTACAAAATTTTGGAATACATTTAATTCATAGAACAATTTTAACATTTGTTTTTAATACATATTTCAGTACTCTACAAATAGTTTCTTATAACTTTTGATGTAAAATAATTAGGGAAGCAGGAATTCAACAATTCAGAATTTCCCATTGAATTACCTATGGCCCGTTTGACGATTCACCACCCTGTATAAGGGGGTAAAGGAAAATGACATATGGCGCAGAAGATATAACTTTGAACTATACACAGCATGCAATGAACCCGAGATCGTAACATCCATAAAGATCGGACGTCTGCGCTGGATGGGCCATGTTGAACGGATGTTGGAGACTGAAACGCCAAAACATATAATGAAGCAAACACCAGTCAGAGGTCCAGTGAAGGTCAAAGGGAAGACCCAAACTTAGATACATGGAACAAGATCTGAAAACACTTAAGATTACCAACTGGAAAAACAAAGCAGAGAACAGAACAGAATGGCAAAAAATCCTAGAACAAGCCAGGACCCAGAAAGGGTTGTCGAGCTACTGATGATGATGATTATAATGTGGAATAAGTATGATTCCAAAATAAGATCTCTTTAAAAAATAAGAGTTATATGTACTGAAAAATGTCACCATATGCTTTTCTTTTATATAAACATTTATGTTCCCATTACCTCATATATTTCAATATGTAATAGCAGCATGTTGTTAAAAACAGAAGATCTACGAGCCCCTTCCCATATCAGTTAGCTGACCTAACTTGTAATAAAATGGTACTTTGGATGAAAGTCGGTACAGAAATTATCAATTTATTTACTATGGCTTTTGAAAGTGGGCCAATACCTATAGAAAAAACTGTATTGGCCATTATTCATCAATTTGAAAAGTTTGGCTGTACTAATGACAGATGTAAAAAATGCTGCCCATCAGGTCAACCTCGCGAAAAGAAAATTTCTCAAGAACGAGAAATTAGAGAAATTCCAGTTTGTGCATTGGCTGAAGCGACGCCATGTTCACATGTATCATTTAAGTAATAATATAAGCAATAAAACCGGTTTAAAAGATGAGTTGTTATTTTAAAAATCATCAAGTTTTTTTTAATGAAAAATAATGGGGATTTGCCTATGTAAACGAGGCAAAATGTAAAAATAACTTTTTGTATATAGAACATCCCAGAGGTACTTTTCAGTGCATCACAGTTTTTCGATTTCTTTCTAATGCATAAGTTGGATGTGACGGAGAAAGCGGTAGTTCCGTGATTAAACAGAACTATATTGCAGCGTTAGAATAAGCTTACATACATAAACAGTTCTTTCCTAACCTACGTTTGATTCGTTGATATTTATATGCGCGCTTTCTCTAGCCAATGAAATACGCCTATTACTGACAGTTGACGGAAAACTTCGTCCATGCTGGCCATTCTTTGCAAGTGTTCCAACAGCAAGTGACGGCTGTCGTTCAGGCCAGTATTGCAAAGAATATAGACGCTATATAATATATTTATATTCTTTGGTATTTGTTTTGTATAATTTTATTTTGTATTTTGTTTTACATAGTATTGTGATTGTGGTTTTATTTGTATTTGTACAAGATGACAAGATATACGAAAAAAGAACAAGTTCTAATATTAAAATTGCTTACAATATTATTACCAATTTCTGCTGTTCGTGAAATAAGTTGAAAATTACCCTGAAAATAAAATTGTTTTATTTACTGTTTATTTCAGCGTGTTGCTGAGGCGTTAGAAATTACTTTGCCAACCATAAGGCGATTAGCAAATGAAGGAATACAAAAATATTCTGATTATACCAATAAAGTAAGCGAATCAGTAGCCACTAGTTGTGAACCCAACTCGATTTTAAATAATTACCAACATACCATTAGGACTTATTAATGAGTAAGTGAGTAAAGTGGTATTTTTTTATTATCTTCAATATCATTCGTTTTTTTTTTTCGCCACAAACGTGAAAACCATAATCATATCCAGTGGAACCAGTTATCATCCAATTCTTATATCCAAATCTGGCTGGCTCCTCTCTAATTAATGTTTTGCTAGGTTATGACCGAAATATTTCACCATGAATTTGTCTAAGGATATATCTTTAAGGAAACACTCCACTGACAGTATTTTTCTATAATTTTCTATTACACTGATAGTCAAATTCTACTTTTCAGTGTTTTCAATAAACTATTATATTTACACATTAGTGAATAAATAGTTTTATGATTAGAATTATATTTTATTTATGTAATTTATTTAGAAGAATATGGACCATCACTCAACAGAGTAAGAAATATATGATAATAAGAAAGACAACTCAGGTCATTCGTGAGGTATATATACAGAATCAGCCTATTGAAATAGTAAGAGAATTCAAATACATAGATACAACTATTAATGAAAACAATGACAGCTCTCATGAAATACGAATCAGAATCAAACAGGCCAGAAGTCTATTTACAAGAATACAAAGGCTTTTCTGCTGTAGAAACTTAAACCTTAAGTTAAAAATACGATTGCTGAGGTGCTATGTGCTATCTGTATTATAATACGGGATGGAAGCGTGGACACTGAAGAAAATTTACGTGAGGAGACACATTCGAGATATGGATGTACCAAAGAGTACTAGAGATCTCATGGGTAGATGGAATAACCAACGTTGAGGTAATGTGACGTATGCACAAGGAAAGAGAAGTACTAACAATTAAGAGGAGAAAAGTGGGATATATGGGTCATGTGATGAGAGGAGATGAATATCTAATACTCCAGGTCATTACGCAAGGAAAAATCCGGAGAAAAAGATCCATAGGAAGAAGACGTAATCCATGTAATAACGACTTATTTAGAGCCGCTGTCTCAAAATTAAAAATCGCTGTGATGATTGCCAACTTTCGACGCGCAGACAGCCCCTTGAGAAGAAGAAGATACAAAATTCAATAAATGAATCATTTTGTCGTCAATTTCGAATGTTTACATATTTATAAATTTAATAAACAATATTATTTACTTTTTATTAATATACGGGATTACCCCCTGTGGCTAAGTACGATCCTGGAATCTGCCAGATTCTTCAATAATTATATGAAATAATGCTCGACACACCTAATTCATTCTATGACGTCATAATTAATGACGCACTGAAAAGTACCTCTGGGATGTACTTTATATAAAAAAAAAAATAATAATAACAAGCTTGGGAACCAAACTACTTCATTAATAATTTTTGTTTTTGTAACAAATTACATAATGTTGGGACGTTGTTTTGGTTGATCTGTGTTGAAAGTAACATAATAATAGTTAAAAATTCATAAATGTATAACGTACCTAACAAATAATCGAATTTTTTTACGTCAGGATGACTCTTTACAGTGTCCGCCTTCTTTTTAGCGTTCTCACTTTCTTCAGTATCTTCGGTTTCTTGTGACTCTTGTTCTGCATCGGCGTTCTCTTCGTCGTCCTCAGTTAGGTTCTAAAATAAAAGCAATAATTAATATATAAAATACACACAGATCAAAACCAAAAATCTCACCTTCGCTTTCCATTCCAGAACGGGGTCTGGGGGATAACCTCTTTTAACTAGCTCTTCTACTATAGTTTTTCTCTTTTTGTTTTCTACAACTAATTCACCGTTACATTTCTCCAATATAAACCTTGCCTGAGCTGATAGTTTTGCAGCTTCAGCATCGAGAACACCTAGCAGGAAGTCTTTTCTTTTTGCATACATCTTGATACGAAGATCGTAGAATTCTTGAAGAATAGTCATCACTGAATCATACCTACAAAACATGGGAATTATAAAGATTGAGTGAACTTGAATATAATACGAATAATTTAATACAACAGGAAAAAATTTCTAGAAACTCAAGTAACAATCTTAATCTTAGGACACATGACTGGACTGTTCTTTACATTTACATAACGGGTAAAAAATACCCAACTAGTATAGTGGCTTTTATTTAGCCTTAAACCTTTCAACATAAAGTTTTGCAATAGTAAATTGAATGTTCTTTGCAAATAAATGCATTACACTTGGCACAGATGTGTTCTCATTTTGGATGCATTTTGGATGGACACATGGAGCATCGTTTTTATTCCACAATTTTGTTGAAAGTCGGGCCCTCATTATAATTGACAATTTTCACAAATTTTCTCATGTATTCAAGCATATACTTTGGCATTTTCCGTTCTTCTTTTCATGCAGGGCAAAATTAATTCTGTGAACAGTTCCTTTAGGCATAATCTCCGTTTATAATTTCGTCCATTCTTATAGTCGGAGTGTTCAGTAAAAAATAAAATAAATGCATCGAGAGCCCCTACATCCATCATATTATTCCAGATAACAACTGGTCATCGTTTTGTTGACACATGTAAAATACACATCGATACATCAGTTCCAAAGAATAACAAGTCTGAATTTTGGTGATTTCAAGTAAAGTATTGGGAAGTGCTTCAATAACCAATATTTACGTGTTCCAAGGGTTAACAACTCTATAATAACGTTCTGTGAAGATTTACATATTTTTTTGTCATAAAATTATACTTATTTTAATTCTACAGTGTAACAATTCAAGTTGTTTCATTTTGTAACTGATTTTTTTCAATTTGTTCGATTTGTGTCAATATATTTTTTCAGTTCCAAACCGTAACATTTTTTAATTTTAAATTAAATTAAAATTAAATTAAATTTTTTTATGTAAAATTCTTTAATTATAATATATTTAATAATAAACAGCAATAAAACATTTGCATTTGAGAAGATTACATATTTATATAATTTTTAATATTTTGTTGAACCCCTTTGGCTTTGATTACCGCTTATAACCGTCTTGGCATACTTTCAATGCAGCTAAAGGCACTTTGCTGCAGTTTTTGTTGTGGTTCCAATGATATAATAGTTTTTCAATTATTAAAACAATTTTGTTTGTGACTTTTTCATTGGAAATTTACCGTTTAAAAGTTCCCAAATATTTTCTATGGGATTAAGGTCAGGAGAATTTCCCGGCCAGTCCAAGAGAGGAATACCATTCTCAACCAGGAATTTTTTCACTGATTTTGCAGTATGAAATGTGGTGCTCGAGAACGATTTCCGAAGTGGAAATTGAAACGTCAATAAACGTACTTTAAGCTTTAATTGTGGCTTATTCCCATTTAAATAGTAATTAAAATATATTGGAACGTGAAAAGCTTAAGTTGCCCTTTACGGGAAGTAACCATTGGAAAAATAAGTTATCTACGGATATAGAATAGAATAAGGGAATTGAAAGAAATAGCAATAAGCTGGACTTCAGACATGCCTCTGACACAATAAGAAGAAAGCAATTACTTATAGTAATGGAAAATCTGAAAACACCGGAAAAACTAATCAATTTGATAAAAATGACAATAAAGAACGTTGTGATGAAGATCAGGTATGGCGGTAAGCTTTCAGACTAATTCGAAACAAAATATGGTCATTTTTCGGTTTTCTGTTTCTGTTGATTTGTGGCATTTTCCTTTTAAATTTTTATAACTGTTTTTTAACAATCATATTGTTTCACTATTTGCTTATATAATAATTATGTATTATGTACAAACAGCGTAGAATTTCCCCCAATCTGTCACTTCAGGGGTTCATGGAGAGTAAAAAAAAAGATTTTATTGTTTACTTCAAAAGTCATGTTTGAGTCTAATATTTTATGAACGTAACTAAGGAGCTGAGATTTTTTTTAATGTATGCATTTTTTTTATCTTCTTACTATGAACTAGTACCTTAATAGTTTTATCAGTGATTCCAGGTTGTCCATCACGTTCAAAATTGATTTCTCCTTATTGGGTCATCAGCATGTCTGAATTGTTTTCTATCTTCTTGTTCACTAATGAACTCCAAATCACCAACACATTTTTTTTTTTTTTTTCATTAAAAAGGAAAAACCAAAATGTTGTCATTGTTTATTATACACGTTTGTATAAACATAGTATGTCACCAGCAAAGTGGAAATTTTTATGTGTCTATTCTTATCGAAACTTTCCTATCTCTCTAATCTGACGATCAGGATCAACGTCGGTGATACCGTATCCACACCCTTCACTCCACAAGCTGGAGTACCCCAGGGCTCAATTCTTGCTCCAATACTATACACAGTCTACAATAATGACATCCCCCGCCCACAGCATAGATCGGAGACCTTTTTACTGTACGCTGATGACACTGCTCTTCTCATGTCAGGACCAAATACAGCGTGGACAATTGTCTGTATTCGAAAGAGCCCAAAATCATCTAGACACAGTCATTACGTGGTGCAATAAATGGAGGGTGACCATAAACCCCTCCAAAACACCAGGACCGAATAACTCTATTAGGAGAGAACCTTATTCTCAGAAACTCGATTTCCTATTTGGGAGTTCATTTTACTAGGACTCTCAACTGGAAAATAGACATTCAAGATACCCTTGACAGGGTGAGAAGGAGGTTTAAACTCCTGGCAGTGCTAGCCGGCAAATTAAGCAAGATGTCAATACCCATCAGCACACATATACACACTGGCAAATATAACACCTATTAAAGACAGAATCCTATCCCTCAGCAGGAGGTATATCCTTTGAACCATTATAGGCTTGAATAACTGAGCAAAGCAAATATTAAAGACACGTTGCAATCGCCGAGGGCAAATACTCACCAGATTTCATCAAAAAAAGATCCGTTCCCTCCAGCTAAACTTCCTCACAACACTGGGCACGAATTTCCTAATGAGTATTTTGAAATCTTTGAAACACTTCCCCATTAAATATCGCAGCTAGCAAATGCATGCTGATTAAGAGCAGTTCATATTGTACGGCTGGTAACCCCTGAAGTATCTCCTTTGACATGTTTGGCATAGCTCACCTAAATTCCTCTTGTGCGCTTCTTTGCTCATCGTCCACACAAAACACGCCCACCTTCTGAACCCCAGCTCCTTAGTAGTCCACTACTTCTCCACATATAACATCAATTATCACGTTTTGTCACACCTCCATTACTCCGACAAAAAAAAGAATACCCCTTCCTTGAAGAGGAGTTAGGCCTAAACAAGGTTAAAACTCTGGATCCAATCAAAACTTTTAAAACTAAACCTTTCCTGGACTTTTATATATCGTAAAGAGTAACGTTGTATATTCTTGACTTTCTCTGTATAATTACAATTTGAATAGCTATTATTTATTTTCAGATAAACTATGTAGGTATTTAAAATGTTATAAGTTTAAACGAATTTATTAAACTAACCTTCTCAGACATCCATATTCATCAAAAGCGCACATGGAAGTAGTGGTAATGAGATTTTGTAGCTTAAAGCTTTTATGTAGGCCTTCCTTCTCCATAGCCTCTAATTGGCCATTTTGGAGAGTTATGGTGTACTTTACCGTCACGTCTGAACAGTTGTCTCTATAATCTGTTAATACAGATTTAACCTTATCAGATCCTAAAAAAAAACTATATTTTACAACACATTTTAGATATCATTACTTTCCACATACCATGTAACATAGGTTCCAACACATTTTCTTTATAATTTTGAGTCCAAGTACCTATTGGCAACTCAGTTATTTCAACTCTGTCATCCTCCAGAATAGAGATTTCACCATTGCTGACATATCGCTGGTCACCACAATATTGGATGGTGCCCTGAAAATTCTTATACCAAGGTATCAATTCTTTAGGTTCTTCGCCATCTAACATCCTCCTTAGATTTTTGACAATATCTCTCGGGTTGAAGTTTGGAATTTTCGTCATCCAACCAGTACCAATACCTTAAATATAAATATTAATTAACTCTTTGTGTATTTTATTTAAGAGCGTAGGCACAAAATTTCGGGCCAATGCTTTTTCAATGCATTCATTTTTTTCGAATCCTGAGAAAACTAATAAATATTTTTGAAAAATTTAAACGCAGAATGAAAGAATACATTATTACAGAGGGCGGAAAGTCCCTGAAAACTTCTATGTTTATTTTAATAAGTTACAGGGGTGAAAAAAAAGAGAAAATTTAGTGTGATTTTTAATTTCAAATATCTCATTCAAAAAAATACTTTTTGTTTATTCTAAAATAATAAATAAACTTTGCAAATAAGGCAATTATCGAGCACAAGTTTAATTAAATCTTGCACAAGTACTTTCGCTTAATATAGCATCTTCAGGGGCATCTGAAATAAGCCAAAAAAACGTTTTTTAGATGAAGGAAACTAGTCAACTTCGATAAAAACTCAAAGCTAATGAATGAAAAAAGTTAACATAAAATTGTACAAAACACTACACTAAAACAAGGACAAACAGTTTAAAATTACTTAAAAAGATTCTTCGCACTACATTCTTTGTCAGTATCAGGAGAGAGAATGGTCTAAACGGAAATACTAAGGTGACATGTGACACATGACAGATTTGATGCGCAGTCACAGTCATGGATCTGTGATCTGCACATATTGAAATTCTGTGTAAGTCAGTTGACATTGACTAAAGGTCCAACTAAAACTACTGTAGAAAATCAGCTTATGAAATATGACATATAGAATATTTTGATTTTAACTAGATTGCATAATCCAGATCTCACGCTCACACCCGTCTGTAATAATAAGGTTGTAGGTTTGAGAGTAAATGAAGTGTACATAATGTGTGAATGAAAGAAATAGACTAAACGATCTATTGGACAGTGGGTGGTTGACTACAATAAAATGGTCTACCAGGCACTGTCAATACTGTAAAAACGAGAAGAAAATTGACTATGAAATTGAAATATTAAAAATTAAATCAAAATTGAAAGCAGTGTTAAATGGATATAGTGCAAGTAGTTCAGTTAAACCCCCAACCAATGGGAGAACTGTAAAACTAATATGTAATAGCGTTATTAAAGACCAACTGACCAACAGTGGAAGGTGTTGAAATATAAAACTGTGGATCAATTGAACTGAGCAAGCTAATTGTATAAATTGTTAAAGAATAGATTAGTAATGCTGAACAAAGCATGAAATTAATAGATTCTTAATGGATATACTCAGTGCAGGAAGTCTAAACAGCCGAGCTGGGTCCACTACGAGGTGAAGCTGCAATAAAGTTTTTAAAAATAGGTTTAAATTTAGTGTAATTTAAATTAATTTGAGTGTTAAGACAATGAGAGTTTCCATTCGTTTCCTTTGTGATCTCCAAATCTTCCAATAAATCCAACTCCAAATAGTTTTTCTTTCTACTGATGTCATGCAAAATAGACGAACCAGTATTGATGTTGAAATTGTGTTTACTAGATAGTAAATGTTGACCAAAACTTGAAGAGTTTGGTCTTTTCAAATGTTTTGAAATTCTTTTAGATAGCTTTCTAATGGTTCTGCCTACACAAAAGGCATCACAATCATCACACTTTAATTTGTAAATACCACTTTTGTCAAGTGTGTTCAGCCTATGACTATGCTCTATGCTCAAATTCTGTCTTATCAAGACTTCTTACAATTTAACCAAAAAATATACAAACAACCGACAGGTTTAGCAATGGGATCTCCATTATCACCTTTTCTAGCTGATATTTTTTTGGACAACAGAACAGAAATTTGTTAACAACAACAAAATAATTTTTTGGTCAAGGCACGTTGATGATTGTATAGCTCTCATACAGGATCCCAAGATGATGATTTACAGGTTCTGTAACAGGTTCTGTACAAGGTTAGTCTTTGTAAGTGGGTATATTTATTTAAAACAGCTGGAAACTGAGTTTCCAGCTGTTCTCCGTGCGTAGAGGTTTTCTCCCCGGCTCTGGAACTCAAAACTTTTTGCAATGTATGTTACCTGAAGTCATATTTAATTTAATAATGAACATCACGGTTTTTTAACAACAAGATGTATAATCTTTGATAACTATAAGTAATTTAAAGGGTTTTTACCCATGTATTTTTGGTGGCTCAGGCATTTTAACCTAGCAGATTTTAAACCTGATGATGGACTGTTTAGTCCGAAAACGTTTGTTTTTTTGATGTAGCCCTTTTAAGGGTTTTTTAAATAAATATACCCACTTACAAAGATTAACCTCTTTTTTGTGATATGTGGTATACAGCCAGCTACAGGAATTGTTTTCCTAGTGGATCTTAATGACCTCCATCCTAACATCTCTTTTACATTGGAACCAGACCATCTGACAATAAGTTGAACTTCTTGGATATGGCTATATCTCGCAACAAAGATTCTCTTGAGTACAATATTTACAGAAAACCCACCCAAACAGACCATGTTATACATGAGCCATCTAACCATCCAACCCACCATAAAATGGCTGCTTTCAATAGTTATATTCACAGATTACTCAAATTTCCACTTTCGAATGATAACTTTAATTTAGAACTTAACTCTAAACGTTAATCACAAAAAACTTTTTCCATCCATTAGATTCGACTTTTTATCGAAGTTGACTAGTTTCCTTCATCTAAAAAACGTTTTTTTGGCTTATTTCAGATGCCCCTGAAGATGCTATTTTAAGCGAAAGTACTTGGGCAAGATTTAATTAAACTTGTGCTCGATAATTGCCTTATTTTCAAAGCTAATTTAACCTAAAAAATCAGGAAGTTGATTTTTTATCTCTTAACGAATTGAAAGACCTGGTATTAGGTAATAAAGTCACGAAACACCAAAACGTTATGCCACGTAATAATTTGCAAAATAAGAAATAATTTTTTTTTTGTCAAATAGACCCGAACAGGACAGCAGGATTAAAGTAACCTCCAAATGTATAAAAGATAAAAATTCCAAGATTGACGATACATGCAAAAGTTCCCATCCTTTCCAAACTGTTGGAGTGTGGCAATCCGTTAAGGATTAAACCAAATTACGGTGTTAAAAGTTAAGAACACTTAATTCATATTAACAAAAATCTTAAAATGGGTCGAATTTTCATTTTAAATGCCGATTTTTTAAATATGCGAAAACGGTGGTATCACCAGTTTTGACGGTATGACGGTTTGACTAGCCGAATTTTAAATGTATCTGGTAACTCTAGCTCTACCTAGAGCTTTAGCTCTGGTAGATAGAGAGGTTGTTTTCTTGTGTGAACTGGATTATAGATGACCGACGTAACAAATTATTATTCAAAATTGTGGAAAAAATATTATTTTTGAATGGACTAATTACGATTTGAAGTTTTAGTAAAAGTTTTAGTTTAGTTTTAATAAAAGAAATTGTAATAGATTTAATTTTTTGTCTGTATTATTTTTGAAATTAAGGGGACAGGCTCATGCGAAACTTTCAAAAATTCAAAAATTTTTTTTTTACATAAATCGCTTCCATTTACATTCAAAAACTCCCTCCTAAAATTTTAAAAAGAAATTCCCACTAGAATATAAGTTATAGTTATTTTATTAACGTCAGCTACGCCCGTATGAAAACCGGTTTCTCTCCGCGCGGCGAGCGCGAGGCTCCAGGTGTTCTTGCTTTTGTATATATGTTGTATATACGTTGGGTGTGTATTAGTGATTCATTTTTATATTATAGTATGTACATCTGTATAACGTTTGGCAGTTACTATACACATTTGGAATTTTAAATCCGGAACATAGGATTTTTTACAAATACTAAGATTCTCTGCGTTGCAATTAACCAGTGTAAATTTCTTTATAACGTCGCGATGTTTTATAACTAATTTATTTGTTCCACTGGATTACTATTACTTCTCCTCAGCGGTTTGTAGTAGCGTATATGGCACGCCGACAGTGTTGCTCCGTCTACCGATTTTTCCTGAAAGTCCGGTTTTGTGCAGATAATAAATAATGTTTTATTAACATCAATTTTGTTTGTGTTCATTAGGTATTATTTAAGTTATAAAATTTATACTTAAATACATTTATTATTCCAAATATTGTTTATAATTTCAAATTAAAAAGAGTGTATGTAATATAATTATTTTATTTTTAAAATTCTTTAAAAAACAACCATTTTTTTAGTTATAAAATATTTTCATATCTAGATTTATAAATAAGTAGATACGTTTTCGTTAAATTGACATGCGATCTAGGTGTGTTCTGTTTTTACACTTACACTGTCAGCATCGCGGCATGAATTGAGACTCCAGTCGAACTAATGAATTAATTATAAAACATCAAATCAAAAAGAAAAAAGCTTTACAAAGCCATTTACAACAACGGTTGGATGAAGAGGGACTTCAATATTCACCAGGAATGGCCGATTAAACGTGAGTATAAAGTTATCAGCCTTTAATTCACGAAAATTATGTAAAAAAAACTTTAAATGCTTTTTTCTCAAAAGTAACATTTTCAAACTGGTCAGACACTTTTCTCAGAACCTTCTTAACCGATTTTAAAAAACCAAAAATTGTTCGAATGTATATACAAAAGACTAGATGATAAACCTTTAAAATATTTAAAAACCACCCCCCTTTTATTATATATGGGTAAAGCCACCGAAAATTTAGCGATTTTTCGACTATTTTGAAAAAATTCGTATAAACTCTTCAAAATAATACAATTTGCATATTTTAAAGGTTTATCATCTAGTTTTGAGTCTCACGAATACAACCCATTTTGAATTTTTTGAATATCTGTTTCAGGTGGCCCACAAAGTGTCACCACCAAAAACGCACTTTTTACTACACGCCATCTACAGGACACCAATGAAGTTAAAATCGCTATTAAAAATTTTTTTTATGTACTTCAAGACTTACTTAATCATCTCCAAAGGAATTATGTTAATAAATATTATAGTTTTTTTCTGCTTTAATTTTAAAATGTGTATTTTTTTTAATCGCATGAGACTGCCCCCTTAATACAGTTCCAAAGACAAACAATTATAAATTAATAGCTTTAAAGAAAAACACTCCGACATACGTATTATGTTTACATTTGGGTTATATTTGAATTAATTTAAGCGGGACTTAATTTAGTGAAAAGCGTGAGCAGACGTGAAAAGAATGGAAAACCACTCACGTCCCATTCCTAGAATAAATACAAAAAATAATACAAAAATAATTTACTTACCATCAGCTCCGTTAACCAATACCATTGGTATAATCGGAATATACCACACTGGTTCAATTTTCATATTATCATCATATTCATGTTTGAGTAAAGGATCATCGTGAACATGAAAAAGCAACCTCGATAAAGGTGACAACTTAGTAAAAATGTACCTTGGACTAGCAGAATCTTTACCACCGGAGAGTCTAGTACCGAATTGACCCCTTGGTTCCAACAGATTTATGTTATTGCTGCCAACGAAATTTTGAGCCAGGTTAACGATTGTCATCGCCAGAGAAGTATCACCATGATGATAAGCAGCCTTTTCCATGACTGATCCGACCATTTGACTTACTTTGACTTCACGTTTATCATTACGTTTAAAAGCAACATATAGGATCTGAAAAATAATTTTAAATTCAATATGAATATTATTGTTGGGAATGTAATACATTTATCTTGTACATGTATTGTATATTGCATAATGTGTAGTAGTGAACGTTTATACAGTGTAGGTAAAAGTTTATGGTCGGTATAGTAAAATTTAACAGGATATCTAACACAGATATACAATCATATTTTCAGCGAATAGACAAAGATAACAATCATATTTCCCCTTGGTCTCCCCTCCATATTTCTAAGAGACGCCTATTGCCCATTAGTTTGACGATTAGTTGCGATCAGAGATATTTTTGTTGACAATTTTATCGGAACCGTTTTTCGTAAACTAGTAACTAGTTGATTGTTTCAAATAAGCGAGTACAAAAACAAACATATTGACTATTATCGTTTATGTGTATAAGTATTGAAGTGAAAGAACCTAACGAAGGATATATTTATTATAACTTGAAAAATAAATTAAACAATACAAATAGTAAATAGTACTTACATTTACATTACACATTATTAAATCGCGAATCGTCCAAATTGACATTTAAAAACATAAGTTTTTCCACTTTTCTTGTTAACCGTGTTCTTCTTTTATTTAAAATTAAACCAGATTTTGAACATGTGTTCACAAGATACAGTTTTTGTTACAATACTACAATATTTTATGAATATAGTGGTTAAGTTAGGATATACATGGCGATGGTTTTTCCACCACTGTAATGGACAGTTCCAATCTCCGTTCGAAATTTTTTGTGGGTAATATATCATCAGACAAATACATGTCGATTTCTTTTGTATCTCTCGATACAGGTGTATGTTTAGATGAGTCATGTCCAATTAATTCATCAACAATACACCATGGACTTAAGTCATCTTTATCAGTTTCTTTTTCTTGTACTGGTTGATTTTCAATAGTACAATCTTCTTTTTCTTTTTTTTTATAGAAGTAACCAGCTTCTGAACTCTTTCTTTTGTTTTTTTACCTTCATTTTTATCAGAAAATCTCTGCATTTTAAATAATTATTTGTCATTTACGAATCTACGGTTTCTCACTGGTAAGCCAACTAGTTGATGGTTGATTAAAAAAATTACGTTTTGTGTAGACGTAAACAGAGGAGCAACAAACACTTTACGTCGACGAGGACGATTACTTGATCTGAGAGACTACTACAAAACTAAACATGCGACTCTTTCGGAACAGTGGACAGTCGGGCTATCGGTTGACGTTGAAAATAAAATAATTAGGTATTCTGATTAATGAATGAGTTTCGATTTACGATTGATCTGCATTTTCGAAGGTGATGGATACTTCCATTAATAAAAATATTATTGTTCTGAAGCTATTTTCTTAAATATTTATATTGTCAATAAACGTATTTTTATCTTTAATTGTGGCTTATTCCCAGTTAAATAGTAATTAATAAAAATATTAGTTAAGAACAAAATAAACAGATATGTATTTACTAAACCTATGCAAAGACTCGTTTCATCCGTTTTCCGTAGTTGGTAGACAGGGCTTATTAGTCTTTTTACTTCAATCTGGTTACCATCAATATTTATATATTTGTATGAGCTAAGAAACTGGTCGACTACAGATTTAGACGAGAGGTACATGCAGATGAGGTTATTTGCGATTCTGGATGCCCAAACAACATTTTTGGACTGTACTATTGATCCAACAGCTTTTTCATATTTGAAAACTTTTATTTCTTGTATGATTGAAAGTATGATACCTTGGTTTTTTGAAGCATGTTTAAAACTGTTAAAAGCATGGGAGTAAGATATATGTGACGTAGTGGGTGTATTTCGCGCAGTAGTAGCTGAATCCGGTTCATCCATATTCCTGCTGAAAATTTACATGCATTGGAACGGGTGATCTGAAGCCAGACGGGCCGCTTAACAAAATTTAATCTGCAGACTAATAAACTTGAACCCGCAAAACCTTGTTATCGATACTCGATAAGTTAAATTTAAATCAATAAGGTATTTGCCTTTTAAACTTTTCTGATTTTGAAGGTTATTAAATCAAAGAGCCACCTAGTAAAATTCAATTTTTTTTTACAAAAAGGGTATATAATTGAGCTGTACAATATTATTAATGCGTTTGTTTCCATTTGATTATATTGTAACACTTTATGAAAGTACAATAAATAGTCTGGCAATATGTAGCGTTTACGTTACTGATTAGTGCAATATTATCAGAGTTAAAAATTGTATTAATAAAACCCCTCACGAAATTTCTTATGATCCGCCAGCGATCGATTTTTAAATGGACATTTTTCTCCTCCCACGCGCTGGGAGCGCTTTGAAAGGAAGATCGAGGTTGTGCGGAAGAAGTTTAGTTTGGTCAAGAAACTCGTACTATGCAGCCACGTCAGTCAATTCAAAGTGACGGAATTGGAGCAGTAAAATAATCTGGGACGAATAAAATAATATCTAATTCAATAATCATATCTCAATAATAATGAATAATAATAATTAATTTCTAAAATCAATATTCAATTTCTAAGAGTTCCACATAAAAAGGATTGTTTTTTTTTGGCGTGCTGCGTGCTTCATGTAAGTAAGCCATTCAATATGTATTATCTCTTTATTATACAATCAAATTTATCATTGCAGTTTAGTATTTCTTTAGAGATTTATTTTTTGAGTTCCGAAATAATTTAAATATAAAATTCCCTTGATTTACTTGCAAAGAACAGAAGGTCATTTTTTATATAGTCAAACTTAAATTCTGTTTTAGTCCATGTCGTTATCATTAAGTTTTTTTTGGTTCTTTTTTTTTTCTCTAACTTTTTTTGGTGGAATATACAAGGTTTCTACAGCCTTCTGTGTTCTGCGCGTGTTCATTTCATGGCGCAAGCCTGTCATGTCTACGAAATGAACTTCGGAAATTTTGACATTTTGGACCTAACCTAATGTTTTAATGTTTTTGTTTTGGTGCAGTCAATCTATGCTGCTACAAGTACTAAATAAAATAGTAACTAAATCTGATAATTAATCCTTTTAGATTCCGTCACATGAAAATATTCATTTGAGAATATTCATTTGAAAATATTCCCTAGAGGATGTTAGTTAGTAACTTTGAATCCTTAGATAGTTAGCAACTTGCGTATGTAACCCGTGGACTTTGCTGTCACCCGGAACCATGGGACTTGTCACCACAACCATGAATTAATTTAGCCGTGCCAAGAGGAGTTTTCCTATGGACTTATAGTGTTGCTAAGATAAGTTGTTTAACTATTTGACTTTTTGTGTTACTTTCTATTTACTGTTAACTTTTCATATGCATATGATAAGGTGAAGACATTTTTGATATTGGGGAAGGAAAAATACATTTCACGTTTTAAATGGGATTTTAAATAGGATTTAAAGAGTCTGACCAAACTCACTTTTTTGATATAATATATTTTTTTAATACATTTTGATATAATAGAATTTTGATATTGGGGGAGGGAAATAAATTTCATGTGTTTTTTTTAAACATTATATAAGGAGTGTTGAAGACTCACTTTTGAATGTAATATATTTAATATAATTGTAACAGATTTATCACTTTTAATATCTTTACAATACGGTAATTAGTATTTCATTTTAGTAGAACTATTTAAATTTAAATTACTAACCTTTAGTGTTAAGACCTTGGCTACCATATTCTTGGTGTTACTAATATTTTAAACTTTATTTGGCCAGTGGTAGTGACTATTCACTTGTTGAGGGGCTATTAGGTCCTATTGTATCTTTACACCACCCACTACCACTGTTATTTAGCTTTGCATTATATGTAAATTGTTCATACATATATATCTATATACACGTTTTATAAATATATTTATTGTTACTATTTTGAGTTTTATTTCAGTTTCTACTAACCAGTATATATCTGTTTATATCTTTAAAGCCACAATCCAGTGCATTGAAGCTAGCCCGAACACTCACTTGAGATTTAGTGTCTCTTTGGCCATTTAAATTTGTTCCTCTGAGCTTAGCCATATTTTTAGTATTTTTCATCACTTCTCTTCCAGTTCCTCTGAAATTCGTACGTTCTACACTTCCTAAAATTCAATACTCCCGGAGTATTGAGGTTTCAAATAGTAGCAACACAGCGGGCCTGGCCATATGTGACTCAGATTCCACTGTTTGTCAGTTCTTTCCAGCATAGCTTGCAACTCGTGTGCATATTATTTTGTATTCTTGGTGCTTAGAGTTATAATAGTTTCCATTGCTCACCATATACCAGTGGTACCAGAACATCATGGGAAAAGCCAAAGATATCTCACCAAGAAAATTAGCGGAAATAAAAACTTTATTATTGAAAACTAATCACTCTAACAGAAAAATAGCATCAATGTCCAAAGTTGTAAGGGCTACTGTGAATCGTATAAAGAAAAAACTTGACGAAACTTTGGATTTGATCCCACGGCGCAAAAAAAATGTGGTCGAAAAAAATTACAACGCTACGAGATAAAAGAAAAATTCGAGATATTGTCTTGGCAAACAGAAAATAGCCTCGAAAGATTTTAACGACAATGATACAGGAATCTGGCATCAATATTTCACCAATGGCAGCTGGTCGGCGAATAGAGGATCTGGAGTTTTCAACCTGTCGTCTTTCAAAAAGCCGCTACTGACACCAGCCATAAAGAAAAAAAAAGCTTCAATGGGTTAATGATCATAAAGATTGTCCCATTGATGATTGGAATCAGGTAAATAACATTACTTAACATTGCTTTTCTTATATGTAGTTTACATTTGATCAATGTCTACGATTCTAAAATAATAATATTCCAGTTATCCAGGATACAATGTTGTTAAAATACGGTGTTTAAATATATGATGAAACCTCACCATTATTGGCGTTTATTGTATTCTCATTGAATAGACGTAAGTATCCTCCTTCAATTTTACTTACCGATGCACGTCATAATCATTGACAGAGATCGAAGTTGACATAATGGCCAAAGTATAAAAAAATCCTGACTCCGTTTTAAATCAAATAGGTCACATAATTATTTCAAAAGTATTACCATCTCTTTACAACGACTATTTAAATTCTTACGTGACATTTTTTAAATAAAACAGACTAATTTTGTTCTAAAAAGCACAGATTTTTTTAAATAGGTAAAAATATAAAACAAGAGGTATTCACTTTAAAATTCAAAATAATAAAGTACAAAAAGTGTCAACACCGCAACTGTCAAATAAGTATTACCAATTTATGCCAAAATTTCTCCTTCGTTCGATTACAGTTACAGTGTGTTCCGAACACTTTATAATGCATTTATACAAATTAAATGAAATATATTGTGTATTTCTTTAAGTTAAGTTAAAAACAGTTAGTTTAAGCAGCTGTGATATTAGTCTAATAGATGTTTTTAATAAGTTAAAATTAAATCTAAAACTTAGTAGTGGCCCTGATGAAATTTCACCTTATTTTGTACATAAATGTCGTTTTGTTCTGTCTCCTGTATTACTAAAAATTTTTCGTTTTTCATTAAGTACTGGCACTTTCCCAGAAGAGTGGAAAAAAGTTAAATTTCTCCTATTTTTAAGAATGGTAGTAAAACATGTATAGAAAATTACAGACCCATTTCCAAAATTTCTATTTTTGTAAAGATTTTTGAGTCAATTATTGCTTCAAAAATATTTTTTCCAATAAAAAGTTTAAGTATTCCTGAACAACACGGCTTTATGCCGGGTAGGTCTACGACCACCAATCTAGTGATCCTAGAAGAATTCATTTTGGATGCCTTTGGGAAGGGGCTCAGGTTGATGTGATCTATACCGACTTCTCAAAGGCATTCGATCGTGTTAACATCAAGATTCTTATATAAAAAAACTAGAGGTACTAGGAAATTATGGATCCCTGCTTGAGTGGTTGGAAAGCTACCTGACAGACAGGCTTCAGGTTGTCAAAGTCAAGAACTGTCTTTCTGAAGAGATTTTGGTTAGGTCTGGCGTCCCACAAGGTGGTCATTTATCAACTATTCTTTTTATTTGTTTCATAAATGACATTTTAGAAATCTTTGAAAATTGTGTTATTTTGTTGTATGCTGATGATTTGAAAATTTTTAGAATTATTAAGGATGTTAGAGACTGTGTAAAAATGCAAAAAGATGTAAACAATTTCTCAAAATGCTGTACAAAGAATGACCTTTCACTTAATATCGATAAATGTAAAATAATGCGCTTTTTTAGAAACTCACAACCTATCTGTTTTAATTACTCTATAAATAATATATTTCTGGAACCAACAAACACTTTCAAAGATTTAGGTGTATTTTTTGATCCCACTTTATGTTTGAAAAATCACTATAATTTTATTTGTAATAAAGCTTTTAAATTACTTGGATTTTTGAAAAGAACCTTGTCAGAATTCAATAATCTAGATTGTTTTAAAAGTGTGTATTGTTCTATGGTTAGATCAGTTCTGGAATATTCCAGCACTATTTGGTCTCCTTAATATAAATGTCATATTGAAAGCATTGAGAAAGTTCAGAAAAAATGTTTGCGCTTTGTAGGCTATAAATTAGGAATTTCTTCAGAAGATATAGTGTATTGTGACATTTTAAAATTAATTAATATACCAACATTAGAAAATCGTCGTTTAATGCTAGATTTGGTTTTTCTTTTCAAGATTGTAAACGGAATGATAGATTCGTCTTTTTTCACTTAGAATTCCAACAAACAAACTATTGTCTAAATAGACCTATAAGACGAATATGTCAATCTGGAAATGGTTTAGACGTAGACTTTTTTCTAGCTCTCTAAATAGTTTTCGAAAAAAACTGAAAAAATCTTTTTAAAATACAATGTAGGCTGTCACTGTAAACTGTCATTTAGGTATTTATTCATTTATTTGTCTTGTGTAAATTGTATGTAATTATAATTGAATTCTAAAACTGTTAATATTATATGATTTATTTAATGATTGTAATTATTGTAATTGGTATAACCGTAAATAAACTATTTATTTATTTATTTATTCAATAACATTAATAGAAATCTTTAAATATTATTTCTACGCGTATATAATAAAATACGTCTAGTGGCTGTAATACCAGTGTACTCGGCAAAATGATTCTAAAAAAGAACACACCTACCGCCTAAATATTTCGTGTTGGTATCATGTGACCTTATGCGCTACGTCGCGGATGACGAGCAACGGTAAGTAAATTAGATGAAGTATATATCTAAAAAATATATTTACCTTTCTCTGTCCAGGCTTTAATCCATCCACTACGCTCGGTATAGATCTAATATTATCTCCATTTGAAAACAGTACCAATTCCATATTGATAAAGTCTGTGAATGTTACAAATTTCGTATCTTTAGCATAAAGATATTTTTCGGACAGTCCGATCTCCTTTCTTCTTCTACTTTCAACCATAAAATTAGTCAACCATTCTTTACGATTATCGGTCTGTTTTTTGCTGAAGGCTAAAAGAATGTGATCGTCATCTTGTTGACCACTGTATCGAAATTTGATCCTATGTCTATCCATGTTACTGAAGTATTCTCGGCCTTCCTTGGCATCAGAAGTACCCAACCCTAAAAAAGTAAGTGTTTTAACAATATGAGCAAAAGATATTGTATTCGATTTCATTCAAAAGAAAAAACATCTGAAAAGCATTTAATGTACCGGGTGGTCCAAATATGTCCAATTATACCAAGCGTTAAATAAGTAAACTAGAAAGGGGCATAAATTCTGCACAAAGTTGTTCAAGTACTTTTTTTTATTTTTTCAAATAAAGGGTGGGGGAGAGTGGGAAAGTATTTGTGGATAAATACTATAACTTTGGTTTGATCCAACCGATTTTAATGAAATTAGTGTCATTAGAAAGAGTGTGGATGAATTAATTCACATCTACTATAAAATACTTGCATTCAGTTTTCATAGTCGTAGGTAGAGGGGACTTTCAAATAAAAAAAAATAAATATGTTTTTCTTCAAAATTTTTAATGGAAACACCTATTTATTGTAAATTACAATGGAACTGGAATAAATTCGTAACAAAATGGAGCAAACAGCATGTTAATAGCTTTTGTTGAACTCGAGATATGAATAAAAACTCATAAACATAAGTAAGTATAGTATTGACACACCCTGTATTATAAATTACATTAAAAAATAAGTCAGTAGGTATTTTCAAATTGTTTTATAGCAAAAGAATCTTAATGTTGATACCTATTTTGTAAAAAATAGTTTTTTCGAAACTAAGTAGGCTACAACAATGAATTTGACGGGGAGTTCATATTGTTTATTTATTGACAGCAGTCAAAACGTTGTTAAGAAGTGCTATATTATAATTCGAATTAAAGATTGCACTTTTTTCAATAGATATTAATATTGGTAATATTAGTAATTAATTATCAGTACAAATAATTCGTGATGAGTATATCAAATTGTATGATATGATTGGAGTTTATTTCGAATGTCACCAAAATGCCGCTATATATTTTGTAAGATATCGTGTCAGGAGACATTATGGCAAAGAAGTATTTGAAAGAAAGGCAAAAAGATTAAGAGAAACTGGTAGTTTTTCTCGTCCTTGTTTTAAACGACGTAGTAGAGTTATGACCGAAGATAATTCAATCAATGTTCTTGCTTTAATTCAACAGAATCCACATATGAGTAGTCCGAAATCTCTACTTCTTTGCCACAATATCTCCTGCCAGGATATCTTACAGAATATATACGTGAGACAATAGCGCCATTTTGGTGATATTCGAAATAAACTCCAATCATATACAATTTGATATACTCATCACGAATTATTAGTACTGATAATTAATTACTAATATTACCAATATTAATATCCATTGAAAAAAATGCAATTTTCAATTTCGAATTATAATACATATAACACTTCTTAAAAATATTTTGATTGCTGTCAATAAATAAACAATATGAACTCCCTGTCAAATTCATTGTGGTAGCCTACTTAGTTTCGAAAAAACAATTTTTAATCATATGAAACAACATGGTCAAAATAGGTATCAACATTAAGAGTTTTCTACTATAAACATTTTTGAAAGTACCTACTGACTTATTTTTTAATTTATTTTATAATACAGGGTGTGTCAATACTATACTTACTTATGTTTATTGCGTTTTTGTTCATATCTCGAGTTCGATAACAGCTATTAACATGCGGTTTGCGCCATTTTGTTACGAATTTAATCCAGTTCCATTATAATTTACAATAAATAGGTGTTTCCATTAAAAATTTTGAAAAAAAAACAAATTTTAATTTTTTTTATTCGAAAGTACCCTCTACCTACGACAATTAAAACTAAATGCAATTATTTTATAGTAGATGTAAATTAATTCATCCATACTCTTTCTATCCATGACACTAATTTTGTTAAAATCGGTTGATCCAAACCAAAGTTATAGGTATTTATCCACAAATACTTTCCCACTCTCCCCCCACCCTTTATTTGAAAAAATAAAAAAAAAGTACTTAACAATTTTGTGCCTTTCTAGTTTACTTATTTAACACTTGTATAATTGAACATATTTCCCAAAAAACTGGTTTTCAAAATTTTCTTCGCAGGTTTACGCCCCTAGCGGTTAATCCAGAATCTTGAAAGTTATTTCCAGCGATTTCTCTTGGCCACTTTTACTAAGGAATTTTTTTTCCCAAAGTTATAACATGAATAGTTTCTGATATATAGCCGAGAGATCGGCTTATTGGACCACCCGGTATATAGGGTTTAAATAAAACTCGTTAAAAAATAGATAGAAAAACTAAAAATTACTAAGGTGTTAAATTATTTTGAACAAAGCCATAATCAATAGTAGAAGGTAAGATACTTCAGCGCACTTATACACCTTTGACCTCCGCGGCTTGAACCATACGCGCATCTGGTTCGCGCCTTGACAACCGTACGCGCATGTCTATTATTTCGCGAAAAGTAATTATCGGTGAGTCATGCATTCAATTTTGAGGACTAATGCGTTCGATTTTTTAAATCATTCAAAAAAGAACCAAAATAATACTTTTTCCTACGTAAATCTTTCATAAGAAGGGTTTTTATAATGAGGGTAGAACAGTTCGATGGATCCTGTCTGAGGTCTCGTTGGAAAAGAGACGGGATAGCGAATATGTTGAGATAGAAAAACCAACATGGCGACATTGCCAAAAGGGCATTACATCATATCTCCGTTTTATTAGCCCCTTTTGAGCATGTGATGCGTTAAATGAAAAGGGAGGAGATAACAATTATATGAAGATAGAGAAAACAAACAAGGCAACTACTAGAAAAACATTACACAGCATCTTCGTTATTAATGAATGTATAGTTATGAGATATCAAAGGCACTATGGATGACAATACGCCCACGTCTGTTATACGTTAGATCATGCCTGCTACACGTCCTATACGGGTTAGCTCACGTATGCGTCAGATAGCGTTATTTCATGTCAGACGTTTAGATGTGAATTCGGGGAATTGTTGCCTGATGGCTATCGAAGAACCGTCTACGGCCAAGTTAAATTTCAATATTTACTGAAGACCTATATTCAACAGTTGACGTTTGAAGATACATCTGTAACTTTTAAACATATTTCGAATATAAAGAATATAAGAATGCGTACACAATGTTATACGACTTTTAGGGAGTGTGGATCTTCTGACGTGACATCAAAATTTTTACTATACACATATACAGAATATTTCAAAAAGGAATGTCATAAATTAAATCACGCATTCCGGGGACAAAAATAAATTGATTAATAGAAATATTAACATTAATAGAAATCTTTAAATATTATTTCTACGCGTATATAATAAAATATGTCTAGTGGCTTTTAATGCCAGTTTACTCGGCAAAGTGATTCGGCAAAAAGAACACCTACCGCCTAAATATTTCGTGTTGGTATCATGTGACCTCACGGACTATAACGCGGATGACGTGCAACGGTTAGTAACTTAGATGAAGTATACTTACAAGTGAGTCTATACAAAACATTTCATTTATAAATTTAAAGGTTATTATCAAATGTTATCAGGTTCAATCTATTTGCATATCAAAAACAAAACAAAACAAGTATTCCAAAAGAAAGTAAATAATTAGAAAGGACATAACTTTAATAAAAAAATATACTCTTTTAAAACGTTTAGTATCAATAGTATTGATTCAAAGGCGGATCTGGAATAGCTTCTAGAAATTACAAGTTTAATATTTTGCGGTCAATCGATGAATCATATACAATCGAAAGCGAAAGTCTTACGAAAACTTTCTGGATGTAATTGATGGATTCGACCGTTACTTGATGGAAATTCATTTTATGTAACTTTGTTACAAATGATTTTTTGTTTTTGGTTTCAAATACGACTTTGAGGCAGAATTAAATATAATTAAGCAAGTAGCAGTAAACAACGGATACAACGAACAAACAGTTAATAGAATGGTAAATCAAAAACTACACAAGAAAGCCCTGAAATTAGTATTTACACCACCAGAGAAAAAACCCAGTACCTTCTGCTCGATTACATATACAGGCAAAATATCAACAAAAATAGTCAAACACAAAAAAAAAAGAAAGGAATAACACCAGCTTTCCGAACAAATAACAACCTAGCAAATATATTAAAAACAAGAGACAAAATAAAAAACACTTACATAGTGGTGTGTACAAAATTAAATGTGGCGACTGCACAAAAACTTACATCGGTAAAACTGGTAGAAACTTTAATAAACGAATAGCAGAACATAAAAGGGCTTTCAATAATAGAAAAACAGATTCTACATACGCACTTCACCTTCTAGATCATAATCATTCTTTTAATGACAAATTTAAAATTCTTCACATTCAAAATAAAGGCCTTAAGCTATCTTTGTTAGAATCTATGGAAATGAACAAATTAAAAAACACAGATATAATTCTGAATGACCAACTTGAGACAAACAGTTCTCCCATCCTCAACCTATTTCATTAGAGACTATAAAGTGTAAACGCAAGCCAAAAATAGATCACTTGAGAAAGGCAATGAGCCGAAACAGGTGTAGTGATAAGAGTTAAAATAAATTTTGTGGAAGTTTGAAAACAAAGTTTTCAGTGTTTTATTGTTACACTTTCTGGATGTTGTGTATTTCCCTATAAAATCCGCATGGTTTTGGTTTTAAGAACAGTCTGTATCTTAGAATTAAATAAAAGCAATTATAGAAGTAAATAAAGAATCAAATAAATCGAACCCTGAGTTTACTTCCCGTTACAGTGTCAATTGATTTCTTATTAAGTTCATATTCCAGACATATTCCAGTTATTTTGTTTTACGGCTCATTTATCGCCAGCTAGTTTACCGGGTTACTGTCATAATTATATGATCGATCTAAAATGTATGAGATTTGAACCTGTTATAACAAGAACAATATTAGTAATAGAGTAGTAGAGTAGAGTAATATACAGAAATAAAACAAACCTTTGTAGTATTTGACAGAGTATGTATGAGAGTTTGGTGTATTTGACCTCCATTCTTCGAATTCTGGTAGAGAATAGAATGATAAAACTTCGTTCTTTTTACGAGCCTTGACAATGGGTGTGATGAACTGTTCTAAGAAATTTTGCTTTAGAAGTTCCGGCCAATTGTGGTGTATGAAGTTGATCAGTAAACCTTTTATGTGTGATCCATCTTGATCCTGATCTGTCATTATCATAACTTTACCATACCTTAAACATATTGTTATATACAGCTAATGGATATCAATAGATAAATACTTTATGTTCTTGATTATATATCTCACAATATCTCAAATTTAATTGTTTAGTATATTGTAAGGAATCTGTTAGGTCCCGTGATGATTTGAGAGTATTTGTTACTAATAATTTGATAATGACAACAAAGTTAACTATATTTGTTAATTTTTTATCAGCAAAGTTAAAATTTAGTGTTGAATCTACTTTTCCAGGCAACAAGCAGTTTTCTGAGTTTTAGTTAGATTGATATTGAAGTGGGATATTTCGAAGTTATGGTCGAAGATCATACAAAAATTAGATACAGTGGGTGCGAAGAAAGAAGGAAGCGATGATTTCTTTATGTATCTGTATTTGTGCTTTGTAGATTTTAGAAAAGCATTTGACAATCTCAATCATGAACAATTGATAGGTATTCTGCGAAAGACAGGTATTGACGACAAGGACATTCGAATTGTGGCAAACCTATACTGGGGTCAAACAGCAAGAGCAAAAATTGGCAACGAACTCACTGAAAGCGTGCAGATCAAAAGAGGTGTCCGTCAGGGGTGTATATTATCCCCACTCCTATTCAATATGTATTCCGAGGAAATATTTAACAAATGTATGGAAAATGCAAATGAGGGCATAAAAATAAACGGCGAGTTAACGAACAATATAAGATATGCCGACGACACGGTGATCCTTGCCAGTACCATAGACGAATTACAACAAGTAATGGAAAGACTTTATTCAGTTAGTGAGGAATACAGCCTGAGCCCCAACTTCAAGAAGACAAAGTGGATGCTGATAAGCAAAAACCAACAACCTGCTCGACAATTACGGATAAGTAACATACTAATTGACTATGTAGAATCTTATGTGTACCTTGGCACCAACGTAAATGCAAAATGGGAACAGACCATAGAAATTAAGGCGAGAATAGAACGAGCTAGAGCAGCATTTAGCAATATGAAAAAGCTCCTCATAAGCAAGGATTTCTCTCTTCCCCTAAAACTACGTCTAGTTAAATGCTACATTTTTCCGATCTTGCTGTATGGCGCGGAGGCCTGGACGCTGACGGAGGCGCTAACGAGAAAACTAGAAGCATTCGAAATGTGGGTGTACCGACGCATTCTTTGTATATCCTGGACCGTATATCCTGGACCGAACATGTCACCAACATAGAGGTACTCCAAAGAATCGGAAAGGAGAAAGAAATCGTGAATACAATTAATCAAAGAAAGCATGAATATCTAGGCCACATATTGAGACACGATAAGTACCGTCTGCTACAATTGATTGTCCAGGGAAAAATAGACAGTAAGCGAGGGGCCAGGCAGGAGAAGACACTCGTGGCTCCAAAATCTGCGGAAGTGGTTCGGGCTCACATCGGTCGAACTATTCAGAAGCGCCGCAAACAAGATCAAAATTGCCATGTTAATAGCCAACGTTCGCAACGGACAGGGCACTTGAATAAGAAGAAGATAAAACTAAGATCTCTTGCCTAGAGAAGTATTCAATCAATATTCACTCAACAAACTTGATAGTCTTCAACAATCAACTTCATCAGTCTCTACTCAAAGTAATCCCGGGTCAACACCCATGGTATACGTCTCATCAATAAACTCTGCTACTATTATTTGGTGTTTCCATTACAACTGAACGAACATCTTCACTGAGCCAACGAAGAGGAATTTGTTCACAATTAAAAAAATATTTTGCTCACCTTAAAGTTTTCATATCTTCCGGAGTATTATACTTTTTCTTATACTGTAAACCTAAGATTTTAATAATATTGTTAATTTCTTGATTCTCTAAAATTTGCTTGTGCGTAGCTTCTCTGGTGTTCAATAATTTACCCCTAAGAGGAAATATACCATAGTAATCTCTACCGACAACACCCAAACCTGATACTACTGTACTCTTAGCTGAATCTCCCTCAGTCAATATCAGAGTACATTTTAAAGCATTTTTAGTGCCTGCTTCGTTGGCATCTTCCAACTTCGCAATACCTACAAAAAGATACATGTTACTAGAATATTTGATGTAGATTAGACGAAATTAGGCTGTGACAATCTTAGCCTCTCGACATGTCAATATCACATATCTTTGTGCTAATGTACTGAATCAGTGATCGCGGTTTTTCGGAGGTTTAACTATTACCTACTAACCTAAAATTATTAATTGTAATGAAACCAAATGTCAATAATAATTATATTCCAACATTAACATGATACATATTATAAATAGGTATTTCTTCAACACAAGTAGCTTTATCGTAATTTCTTATGAAATTTTTCGTACTCCAATGGAAGACCTACAATAGCGCTGAAACTTCACTATTCTAAAAATTTACCGCCTACAATTTTGGTTCTTGATTATAGAGCCATGGGTGATAAAAACAACATTATATAAATTGAATGGAGAAACCTCACCTTTTAATTTACTTTGCTTCTTCCCACTCGTCTTTGCCGCCAATTCATTCTGTGCTTTGAACTTAGCCCAAGACAGCACATGTTCAACAATACCACTCTTCGTTACCTGAGTAATAAACTTTTCAGACAAAGTACATTTTGATCCAAAACTCTTCATTTGTAAGGTCATATTTTCCTTTGTTTGAGAATCAAAGGTTGGATTCACAATCAAACAGTTAATGAACACCCACATGTGATACTTTACTTGAGCTGCTTTAATATTTACACCGCCTACAAAAATAAAAAATATATTATAAAACATATACAGGGTGTATATAGGACCAAAGCTCAACGAAATAATTAAACGGAGCAAATGCTGATTCAGATCACATATTAGTAATAGAAATATTAAAAAATAAAAATAATAAGGAATCAAGCCCAAAGAAATAAAATAAAAAAAATCTGGAATCTTGACAAGCTAAAAACAGAAGCCATCACCAATAAATATGCAGAAGACAGCAAAAAAACTAAAAACGGTCATAACTGAAGTTATAGAGATTGACTGGGACAACACAGACTAGATAAAGGCAAAAGAGTAAATCAAAAGAGTGGTTTGATGAACAAAACAGGAATATTGGGGAAGTACAGGTATCAGATGAAAGGGATGAAGACAAAAACGCTCCAACATGTAAGGAGCCTTTGGTAAAACTTTGGTACTCAGAAAATATGCCTATGGAGTGGTGAAAAAGTCATAAAATAACGATATATAAAAAAAGAAGCCCAGGGGATTCCAGTAACTATAAAGGAATCATGCTATTGAACACCACACCCAAAATACTGCCAAGCATCTTGAGAAACGAAAATACACTAATGCAATACCAACAAGGCTTCAAAGAAAGAAAATCGACCATAGGCGCCATTCACCTGCTAACACAATTTATTGAAAACTGCTAGGAATACGAGATAAATTTACAGCTACTATTTATAGATTTCCAAAAAGCCTTTGGTGATGTAAATCGAATTTTGCTCAACAATCCTAAAATTATTCCTAAAATCTATACATTTTAGGAATAATTTTAGTGTGTGGCTCCCTTCGTTTTAAAATAATTCTTTTATATCTTCTTCCTAATTAATGTTGCAATAAATTTCGATAGCACATTTGAAGATCAATTTACACAGCTTGAGAAACATTATTTTCCATTTTAGGTTTACACTAGTGTAATATGAAGAGCAGTGTATCCTAAGATAAATAAAAACAAATAGGGTTGATTAAAGTTTGTGCAACTGCTAACTGAAAAAGCAGACTTCGAAGAAAAAATAGTGAAGAAAATGTTGCACCTGAATACTCACCCTTATTTTTCTTCTTTAACACTTCTATGAGTTGTTTTAACGATCATGTCGGTGACATAATCAACATGTCTACCCCCTTTTGTTGTTGCAATACTGTTAACGAATGATACTTGTTGAAATCCTCTATCAGACAGAGTTACAGCTATTTCCCATCTATCATTGGCTACTTCATGAACTACTTTCAGTGAGTTACCTGTATCATCTTCCTTACCCTTGATGTACAAATCAATGTAATCTTTGAAATTCTTTACTGGAAGTCGGGTGTTGTTTAGGAACACCTGCAATTTAATTTAATATTTATTTAATTTAATATTGGACATGTTGTAAAAAAAGTGAGGAATCAAAGAGAATATCGAGTGCTTTATTGTACACGAAATGGTAGTAGTAGAATAGTACAAATAAGAAACAATAGTATTACCAAATCACAACATACAAAGCTCAAGTAAAGGACTATCAGATATCCATTATTTAGGTAATTAAAAACTTACTTTAACGCCTCTGGTAGAGGCAGCCACATCAAAGGCTCTCTTTGATAATAAACCAACAATATCATCATCTAATTTTTCCATTTTAAATTTAGATAAGTCTGGACTAAAAGTGATTTTAGTGTAGTCTTCACCATAGGCATCTTTAACCTTGGGCTCTGAGGCTTTGGTCATATTGCTAGCCCAGGTTTGCTTGAATTGCTTTTTGTATTCCTTGGAAGATGTTTCAACTATAAACTTGTTACTGAATATGTTACAAAGTTTAGCACCATAACCATTTCTACCACCTGAAATCACAGTGATGTATTTATTTACTAAATAAAAAACTAAAGTATTTATTTTACCTGTAACTTTTTCTTCCTCGTCATTGTAATTTGAAGAAGTTAACAGATGACCAAAGATCATAGTCGGAACAAACATTTTTTCCTCTTTGTGCATTACTACAGGAATACCCTTCCCATTATTCCAAACCGAAATTGTATTTTCTTCAGCTTTGATTTCAATTTTAATACAGTCCATGTTCTTGTCACGTTGCTTGTTGTCAGCAGCATTTACTAATATTTCATCAAATATTTTATATAAACCTAAAAAATCAATTATTGAAATATTGGATAGAGTCATTATACTAAATTCATTTAACAGAAAAGTAGCAGTCAACAAATACATACACAGAACACATGAAATCCGATGTTTATATAATCGTACAGGGTTGTATTAAGATTCTAACAGTCTATAACATCTGAATTTGAAATGAATTAATTTATAATTTTTAGGATTAAATGGATGTTAAAATAATAGTAATCAATGATTAATCTTAACATTTTCTATATGTTTCTTAGAAAATCATGTAAATGATATCAGAAACAAAAGTTTTGGATTTTCCCCAAAACACTGGAGAAAATCAACTAAACATATTTAAACAATTTATGTTGTATACTGTAACAGCTTAAGTCACTAAAAAGAAATATTCATACCTGGTACATATTCAATCTGCTTCTGAATAATCATTTTACTTTCTGAATCATAAATCCACATTAGCTCTGAAACCTTTTCAACAGATCCAATGTATGTGTCAGGACGTAGGAGGATATGTTCTAATTGTGTTTTCTTCTGGTAGGTCTTCTCAATTATTTCCTTCTTTTTTACTGGTTTCGGCACAGAAGCTGGTGGAGGTGCTTCAGTATCTTCTTTATCCTTTTCATTGTCACCACTGCTACCACTACCATTGGATATTGAGGACATTTTAGAGAACATGCTCTGTGAAATTGAATAATATTAGTTATATGATAGTAAAGGTTACCTAAAAATATTAATAAAAAATCTCCAATATTGCCACTCGAGTTCAAGAAGTAGATCTAGATAAGAATAATTATTTATGTTTGGAATGGTTTATTCCATATGGAATTATGGAATTTTTATTTACGAAGCTTATTTTTTTAATAAAGTTACGCATTTTAAAAAGAAACAAAAGATGCTCCTATTATAAAAATAAAAATTACAATTTTTCAAAAATTTATTTTATTTTGAACACAAATAAACTCAAATCAATTGTTGTTTCGTAGTATTTTTTAATTTTTTTTTTGTGTTTGTAAGATACATTAAAATAAAAATAATCCCAGCTTAATGCAGGAAGAGTCTTTGAAAATAAAAATAATACCTAAATAGTTGTATTTTGTAAAACAAGACAGGAAATTGGTTGAATGTCTACACGGAACCTTTTTTACACTTTTTTTAAACCTAAGGCACTGCTCACGTGGAGATACTTAAATCACTAAACAACTGAATCAATCAGACTCAATATGTGCTTTACACAGCGCCACTCCAGACGGAGGTATCAAGGAACATGGCAATGTGAATATCAAGACACAGCCTACTAGTCTCACAGTTTTTCAATTGCCCCATTGTCTAGCTATTTTGAGTGTGTGAACCTCAGAACTATGAGTCTGGATAACTTTATACAGACAATAATACAGATCATTCTCACTTTTCTTCCTCTATATTGGTAATAATAATATTGAATAAAGACATCCTCATCTCTATTAGAATCATGACATCTTGTGATTTCCTGCTATCTGCTAAGTCTAGCAGTCGTCTAGTCTCAAAATCTCATGCCAGAATCCAGGATTTAAGTATTCCCATGTGAGTAGTACCTAACTGTTTCAGAAGTTTTTGTGCTACCAAATTTATAAATATATATGTTTTTTTTTTATTTGGAACCAACATTTTTTTAAATAAAACAGGAAGAAAGTAAGTCGATTTGGCCTTACTTAGCTATATATAAAAGTGCACCCAGAAAAAGTTACGGGGCCTTAAAACTTTTTATGAAAATTTATATTGTGTTAGCATGCCATGACCAATAAAACCGAAGTAGCAAAAACATTTTTTCTCGATTTTTCTAGATGTTTCTTTAAACCTTTCCATCCCAGCTTTTTTATAGTATAATGTTGGATTAAAATGGGACGTCAATGGAATGAAATATCTATTTTACAACTTTTTGTCTTTTAGTATTTGTTTGAAATCATTAATTTAATCACTTTTTCAAATGCAATATTACATTTTTACAAATATTAACACCTTGACGGACACCTAAGTTATTCAAAAATAGTCAATTTGTACAGTGTCCTTTTTGTCGATATTATTACCATAATATATTACGATAATTTACCAGATGGGTAACAGATTGGAAGGTATAGATAGGTATTCTACGACAGTGGATTACGTGTTACCATGTATTTATATTATAAATATAACACGGTACAGCGTTCTGCCACGATATTAGATTTTGTAAAGGACGCTTCACAGCGTTCTGTCACAACACAATTTAAAAAAAAAGACGCTGCACAGCGTCTCTGTCCATCAACGTGTTAAGTTTCTTTTTAACTTTCAATCAGGAAGAGAAAGGATGACTGTCAAAATGCATTAACAGTTACTAAAATTCGGTTCCGTAGTTGTTCTGCACTAATTATTTCCACAGAATAAATAATCTATCAAATAGACTAATCTTTCATAATCGCCAAAAACACAATTCCATTGGATTAAAATCTGGACAGGGTGGTGCCCATTTAATTGGTGCATCCAGCCCCCTTCCTATCCAATGTGCTGAATATTGTTGAAATAAAAATGCCCTAAAATTGAAATCAACTTCACAAATGTCAAAATACTGGCCAAACAACAAAATTATCATAAGAGAACTCTGTTTGTTGTGTTGATGTTAAACATCCAACAGCCCTCAATAAACAAACTGACGAGCAAGATTTATCACTATCTCATCTTACACAATAAATAAGAATCACAAACCTCTTATTCTGAGTTCAACAAATAGTCTAATATTATTCACCCACTGAGGGATAGAATGTATAACTGCATAAAGTAGGGTTTAATTGCTCTAGAAGACCTTTGAGAGTGCCTGTGTTAACTAGAGGAAATCACTCTCATCGACTTCAGTGGGCACAAGAACATGTAGATTGTGTTTGACATGAGTGGGCCTCTCAATAATGGCAGAGAGTCTAGAAGATCTTCAAACCCTTTTGAATGCTGTAAACAATGAATGCACTGAAAAGGGCTTAACAATCAACGCAAAAAAAAAAACAAAATGGATGGTGGTCAGAAAAATTAATATCGAAGACTCAGTACTAAGATTAGATAACAAAATCCTGGAAAAGGTGGAACACTTTAAATATCTGGGTAGCTGGATTGACTGAAGGGTTGAAAGTGACGAGGAAATTTCGACCAGAATAGAACTCACACAGAAAAACTTTATGAACTGACGTTCTGTATTATGCAGTAGAAGTCTGTTGTTGACCACACATCTAAGAGTATTGAAGTGCTACGTCTGGTCCACTTTGTTCTATGGATGTGAAACCTGGACAACAAAAATAAAAAATCTTAACAAATTAGAAGCATTTCGGTTATGGTGTTACCGTTGCATGCTCAGAATCCTGTGGACAGCACACATATCTAATGGACATGTGCTAGAGACTGTGCACAAAGAGTGAGCATTGATCAACATCATCAAAATGAGAAAGGTCCAATACTTCAGTCCTATAATGAGAGGACCTAAATATCGCTTACTCCGGTTAATCATTCAGGGCAAAATCGAGGGAAAACATTGGGTCGGAAGAAAACAACTGTCCTGGCTGCGTAACATTAGACAATGGACAAGTCGAACGGTCAAGGAACTGTTTCATCTAGCTGCCGACCGAGAATCATTTCATCAGCTTGTCAACATGACGATAGCCAATGCTTGAATACAAGCACGGCACACAAAGAAGAAGAACCACTATTGCTATTTTCATAGAATTTGGGATTAATCCAGTGATAAGATAGGTTATATAAATTAGTTAAAATCGATAGCAATGCCTCTATAAACTCTCTAAAGCTGTAACCTGCATAGTGATGGGACGATTGATTACTTTATACTATCGACTAGTCAACTACTTTTAAATATCGATTAGTCTAGTCAACTAGTCAGGGGTAGGCGTGATCAGCTGTTACCTGTCACTGCCAGTCTCAGTTTGTGTTTTGTTTGGTGGAGACAACGCAACGATTTAAAAATACCCAGGATAGAACCTATGAATAAAATACTTCGGTCCAAAGTAGTCGCTGACACTAGCCTACCTGAACCGACCATAGCTGACTCTTGGTTTCCGGAATGCTTTCTCTTGATTTATGAATGAATTTCTTGATTTACCTTCTATTCTTGAACTAGTCATGTGTACAATTGACTAGTCAAAACAATCGACTAGTCGATTATCCCATCACTAAACCTGCATCTAGTTGTATTATGTTTATTACAGTTTTAGTTTTTTGTATGAATAATACCCAAAACTATCCAAAACATTTGGACAGATGCATATACTGCAGATTTTTTTATTAAATACAATTGGTACAAGCTTGGTTGAGGAAAAACTTACCATGAATTACTAAAAACAAACAAATTTAAAAATATTTAGCAGATAGTGAAAAAATTAGATATGCAAAGTATATCTAAAATATTTATAGTCTACTCTTATAATTTAAAAGGGTACATTGTATATTACAGAGAAAATACAGAACTTATTAAAAAATATGACATACTCAATACATGAAGTGAGACTCGGGAATACAAATTAGAAATGAATGAGGGCCAAAGGATATTAAATGGTCAGACATGGTTTAGGTTTAATACCATCACTACATATTTATACTGAGTTTCAAATATCAGATGCCAAATTCAGAGTCGTCGACATTTAATAAGGGATAAAAATCAACAACAATCCAAAAGAAACAGGTGGTAATAGTATTAATCCAGTATATTAAATAATATAAACCATAAATGATGTTACTATGACTAAAACCAGTATTTTACAAATATACACATCTAATAATTAATTACAGCTAAAATTTTACAAGTGCTTGAACACCTCACGAGGAAAGTTTTTGTTTAACAAATATTCTTTGTTTATAACAAATATTAATGTACCTTCTGAAAATGAAAAATTTTGCAATATTTCGACACTACGGATGTAAACGGTTTTAATAATTCTATACTGAAACAAACTAACTGAACTACCATATTTTCATTTTTTTTTCTATTTAGGAACTCTTCCCGGGTCGCGTCGGAGAATGGGCATTTTAACCTTACCTAAAGCGTCTATGGTTTTTGGCAAAAGTACCATGAAATCTCACCTTTATATCCGCCATTGCTATTTGTTAGTTCAAATTCGACTATGTGATTGCACGTTTACTTAAAACACATAATTCTTACAAAAACTGTTGAAAATGACTCTCTCCGCACCACAAACAGTTCGTTGTCTCAACAAGATTGACAACGAAAATGTCGTAGTTCGTTCAGTTTCGACTAACTTCGGAGAAAATTAAAGTACAGCCAGTACAAATCTTTCATTTTGAATTTCTTTTTTGAACTGGCCAATAAGAAACGTTTATAAATATATTTAAAGAATACTGAACGGGTTTTGCCTTTTAAATAATCAATATGGAGGATAATAATACACTACTTGCATTGTTTACATTTTTAAAGATTTTTATTTATTAATTTAGAGTTATTAACTGTAATAATCTATTACACGGGATTTGTAAATAATTTCACTTAGGTTATTTCATAATATTCTTTAATAATTTTATCGTTTCAGTTTACTACATGGTTTTATATCCCATGTATTCTGTATAATTATGTGTATAGATCATTGTTAAAACTTTTTAAAACATTTTTACTTGTTTTTGATAAACATCTTTACTTGTGATTCATTATTTCACACATTATAGCTTTTATCAACTCAACTAATTATTATAGGAGTAAAATATATGATGCATAGGCAACACAAATTGCTAATCGAGCAAACTGCACACTTTTACGAATAATATCAATTTCTGCAGACCAATAATGGTATATTGGAGCAAAACTATTTGAGCTATTATAACTCCAATTAATCAATGCTGATTAGGTTTAATACACAAGACTAGATTCCATAACGACTTGTGGAATCCTGGAAAAGAAAAACACTACAAATCGGTCGTTTTACATAGATATACCTAAATCAAACTTTTTACGAAGGATGAATTTAGAAAATATCTGCTAATCACTTACCTCAAACTCTAAAATCCTACTTCACTAGTAGAGAATCCTACATTATCAAAGTTTTGTTTTGGGAATCGTTCTTTGGACATGTCCATACCGTCTATGTTATGTTTTATACTCTCAATCATGATTTTCAGGTTTAGATTAATGTCATGATTTCCCAGAATGTCCTTCATATTAACAAAAGCATTTTCTTCAATCCGAATCAAAATACACAACTAGGCGGTATCAGTCATATCGGTTGACTCGTCAAATTGCAAAGAAAAGTTCATACATTTATAATATCACTTTTAACTAGGCTTTCCAAATCTTTGCCCATGATTTCGATACGTCTAGTAACCGTTGGACGTTATAACTGGACTTCTTTGATGGCAGACATAATATCTGTTTTATTTTTGAAGTCCTCAATTAATACATTCGCAGCCTCAATGAATGCTTTCTTCACTACCTCTCCATCTTCAAATGGTTTTTTATATTGTGCAGTTACTGATTGTTTTAACGGGCATAGTGAACATATTGATTGTTCCGTCTTCAAACTACCTTTCAAGTCTTGCACTTTCCGTTTTCTAAACAAACTGTTTTGGCGAAAATCATTTTCATAGTTTTTATGCAAAGTTTTATAATGCCGTTCTAAATTTCCACGTTTGCGCAGAGCAACGGAAAACCGACATGCATGACAAACATACTTATCTTTCACCATAGTAGATAAACAGACATTCTTCTTCCCAAGCATTATTAAAATTATATGTTTTATTCTTTTCGGCGGCACTCATATCGAGTTTGAAATATTAATGTAAATAATATATTAACAAAATGTTTTACTAGTAATAATTTAGTAATAAATGATTAATGCTTAACTATGTCAGACAATTTTTAATTAAAGGTGACTAATCTACAAGTTGAACTAAACGGCAGCGGCAACCATGAAAAATTTCATTAGTTCATTCTTACCGGGGTCATTTTTATTGTATATGCTTCGCCCATGTAAATATGTAAATTTGTAACCCATGTAAGATAAATTTGCCCCCGTAACAATATAAATTTGTGCGATTTACGAGTGTATAGTGAGACAAGTTCATAGAATAGTTTGGAACATCGGTAAAATTATCAATATTTTGCTGGTCTATATATATTTACGTTTTTAGAAAGAATGTTAATTAGAGAAATATGATATCTTAGTTTATTGCAGTTTATGAAATATGATATCTTCCAGATTTTATTCATATGTGCATGGGCGTAGTGTATTGGGAATATATTTATTAAATATACTTTATTATTAACTTTAAAATTGTTTTGAGGTAAGTAAAGTAAATTTAAGGCCAGTTTATTCTTAATATAGTATTAAACCCTTAACGGCCGCTCAATATACAAAGAGAAATTTGACAATTAATTTATTAGATTGGATTAAAAACACAAATTAGGAATAAATTACAACCAAAAAGATTTTTTTTCTTATTTTTAAGGAAAACAGTACAATTTTTAATAAAGGAACATATTGTATCTTAAACGTAAATTAAATTTTAAGGTAAAAATTCTCGAAATATTCGGGGTGTAGATGCATTCTGCACTTTTTACATAAATAAATAGTATTACTTTTGTACATCCTACATTTTTGCACTATCATCTCTTTTTATAATGTGGCCAATATTGTCGAATCTGGTTTCATCTGGTAAAGCAAATTTAGATTGACGTTCATGTACTGACACTGATGTAGCGGTTTCTTCACTATTATAAATTAAAATTATAAATCTATGTCGGCTGATGCTTTCTCTTATAATATGCACTTCTTTATCCTCATCCTTTGACCAATGCATATCAACTTGAAGCAGAGTGTAAACCAGATAATATACATATGCTAATAATTTTTTTAAATCTATGTTATTCATTTCAAAATTGTGACGGTTATTCTCAATTACTTTTTTATCAAAAAGAGTGAAAAAAACCTCAATATATGGCTTGCCTACATGGTTGGCTTTTATATTGTCTAAATATCAATCAGACTGATGTTGAATTACCACTGAGTACGAAAGAATATCCGTTATTACAACTTGAGATAAATTTGGATTTACTAATTTTGCCTGGTTTTTTCTTTGGTCGTTTTATCTGTGGTTCAGAGGAATATCATAATCAGAATCGTTAGAATTCCCAATCACTTGTATTTCATATGTACCTGCAATTTCCGATTTTATTGATTCTTCACAAATAATATTATCATCAATCTCTTTAAGAAATACAATAATATACCAGCAAACGAATGGGAAAGATACCTGACGGAATTGTTTAAAGCAAAGGAAAATAATAATCAACACAATAACGTACCTGAACTAAGAGACGAAATAGAAATCAGTTTTCACGAAGTAGAAATAGTCATAAATTCACTCAAAAATAGAAAGTCACCAGGACCAGACGGAATAACCAACGAGCTTCTAAAATACGGATGAGAAAGTTTAACCCTAGAGATGACAAAACTTATACAAAAACTAATATTGCACTGCAAGATACCAGACGCATGGAGAAACAGCGTAATGATACCAATGGTCAAGAAAGGAGATAAAGAAGACCTCAACAATTATAGAGGTATAAAACTACTGAACACCGCAATTAAGCTTACCACAAAAGTCCCAACCAATAAAATCAATAAACTAACAACTTTATCAGATGAACAACAAGAATTCAGATTAAGAAGATCATGCGTAGATGTCGTATTTGTACTAAGATAAATCACAGAAAAGACCATCGAGTACAATAATCCAGCATATCTATGTTTTATAGACCTGACAAAGGCTTTCGATCGCATCCAAGTCGAAGACGTCTGTATAAAAGGGACATACCAATCAATATTATACAAATCATCGAAAGCATCTACCTCTATAATCGAATACAGGCAAAGATAAATGGAAAACTAACACAGTGTATACTAGTACAAAGCGGAGTCAGACAGGGTGACTTAATATAATAGTCACCATTAATAAGGAATATATTAATGGACGAAATAATACAAGCAGTACGTAAAAGTCATGGCTACAGAATTGGGAACAAAGAAATCCAAATATTTTAGGTTATGCAGACGACGCCGCATTAATCACCGAGACAGAAGACGAGCTCTAAAGATTAACACATATCTTCAATACAACAGCTAAGAAATACAATATGATAATATTAGCGGAAAAATACAAATGTATGACATTTAAATACCCACTACGGTGTAAAATCGAAATTTATGGGAAAATAATAAATCCGGAAGCAAGGGTTAGATATCTGGGAATAGATATAACTAGTTACGGAGATGTTAAAGAAGAAGTACGACAGCAAAGCTTAAAAGCAAGTAAAGCGGCGGGTTCTCTTAATGACACAATCTGGAAGAACAAACACCTAAAACAAGACACAAAAACAAGAGTATATAAAGCAGGAATTAGACCTATATTAACATACACGGCTGAGACAAGACCTGACACATCTAAAACAAGACGACTGCTAGAAACAACAGAGATGAAAATACTACAACGAATATCAAGGGAAAGTCTGTTGGATAAGAAGAGAAGCAAAAACATAAGAAGAGCATGCAATATAGAAGACATAAATGGATGGGTGACAAAACTAAAACAAAAGTGGAACAAACACATCAGTAGAATGGCGGAGGATAGAATAGTATGAATAGCACGAGATAAGTCACCAAATGGACGAAGAAGTATTGGCAGACCAAGAAAAAGATGGTGCGACAATTTAAACAATTTCGGAAGCTAATATTGAAGAGTCAACAGGCTTTAAAGCCTACAAACTACAAATATACCACTTTAAGTGGCATTTTCACAATCTGAGTCTTCTTCTAACAAAGCTATTAACTCTTTAGTAGTTAGTGCCATCTTCATTTCATATTTCGAGAATTTACTGAAATAAACAAATGCACTGCTATATAAATGCATTCATATGATAATAGTTTAGCTTACTTCATTTTAATTTATATGAACTTCATAATATATTTTCATATTTATATAAACAAATAAACACAAACAAACTTTCAAATTAATTAAAAAAAAACAAATATAACATTACAGCACACAGCAATTCTATAAATAG